GAACGCATGCTTATTATTGAGGGTAAGTCGGATGTGATACCAGACGAGCTGGCCGACGATCCCATATTTATGGTCAACAAAGATGCCAACATGGAGATACAGAAAGAGCGCTCCAAGGTGATTTCCCCAGACCACAGTCTTAGCCACTCGTTTACCGTTACCCAACTTGCAGCTGAAGACGAGTCGGGAGAAGAATGCGGAGCGTCTAAAGCTGCAGGGCGTGAAATGGGAGCGGGAGCGCCTGCAACATGCCGCCCAGGAGGCCGAGCTTCTGGCCAAGAAACGCGAGAGGCAGCGCGCCCAAAAGCTTCTGGTGGAGCAGTACCGTGCCGAGGATGCCGAACGAGGCATGGACCTGTTGCGGTAAGTCCCCCCCAACCCCCACCACACCCTAAATATCTCCGCCTCTAATGACTGTTTAATGGCAGGGGGAAAGTTGGCAAAAAATATTATAAAACGGCACAACAATAACAATACATTATTCCGCGTTGTCGCTCAACGCCTGCTGCGAAGCTTTTTATCCTTTGCAGAAGGCGGAAAAACGCGTGGGCGGCGGCTGAACCCAGTGGCTTAAACGGGCTATAGGGCGGGGTTGGGGCATGTCGGAAAATTATGATCCAGTTTTGACTGTGTGCTGTATACTCTAATAAGGCAAACTTCAATTTTTTTAACGAATTCTTGTGCCTAGAGTGGATTAAATATAGGAAATTCTTGAAGCATTTGGATAGTGGATATACAAATTCGAAAGGAATTATATATTATAATATATTTTTTAAGTAATATGGAATTATAAATAATATGAACTGTTCTCATATTTCATGCAGAAAAAGACGGCTTGAATTTCCTGCTACATTTATCAGTTCATTCCTTTCAAGTTTAGTTCTTCCATCAATTAAGTTCTATTAATACAAACCGCTCAACATTTTCCAAATCCGTTAGGGTTTCTCTTGTAACAACCCTAATAACCCCATGCCCAGAAAGTGTATATAGCCACGTACGATGGCAGCGTTTGGCTGTCGTTAAACCATTTTAGCCAGCGGCCCTCTCCCCATTAATATGCATGAGTTGAATGTTTGGCGAGTTTCTTATGAAATCGCGAGGCTAATGAAAAAATAAATAAAAAAAAACCTTTGCTTCGCCCACAGCATTGAGAACGAGGATTGGCGCGAGTGCGAGCAGAGCCTGAAGGAGTTCCTGGAGATGGAGCGTGCCAAAATGAAGGAGCGTTCCCTGCGCATCTCCCAGCCCTTCTCGTCGGATCCATTGGACATACAGAATATAGTGAGGGCCAGGTAAAGTGCAATGCAAAATCTCTGGGGCATGTGTCACCGATGTACAAATTACCTGCTGATTTTTAGGCAAAAGTTCCGCGAAACTGAGCTGCGTATACGGAACCAGCTGGAGGGTAAACTGAAGGACACCAATACCCCCATTACGGCGCAACAGTTGAATGAGTTTATGGAGGATGCACACCGATCCAGCATTGAGATGATGCGTGAGACATCGATGGACTCGATCCATGAGGCGTTGCAGAGCAAGTATCTGGACGATGCCACCGATATCTCCGACGACACCATTGTCAGCGAGGATGCCATCAGCCTGACACTGGCCAAGCAGCAGTATGCCGAGGAGCTGGAGACCGAAATGGAGGATGAGTTCAATCGCGGATTGCTCATCTCCAAGCAGCAGTACGATCAGCTGCGCTTTGAGGATGAGAAGATTGTGGCCCTACGAAATGCCAAGGTGGGTTCGGTTCAGAAAATGTTTTGCACACAGGTTTAACACATCTCTAATATTGTTTCCACCCTCTGGTTCAGGACATTCGCGAACTCTATTTACTGGCTGAAGAGATCATCATGGGCGACATTATTGAGGAGGTCGAGGAGGGCGAAGAGGAGGGCGGCGAGGAGCAAGAGGCCGAAATACCCAGCTCCGATCACGAGCCGGAGCCTAAGCCAGCCTAAAGGAATTTTTTTTCTAATCGTTGAGCAGCGAGAATCTGTCTGTGTTTTCTCCTGTTCCACCACTTTTCAAAAAAAAAAGTTTTACAAAGTTTTTGGCCAAAAATTTCATTTTTCTGTTGGTTGTTTTTTTGAAATTGAAATATTTCACAAAAATTGTGCAAAACCTCAACGATTCGTCACATAATAATACAATCATTGGTATTGGGGTTTGGAATCAGAAAACTGTCACTCAGTCGCTTCATATTTGATTGTTGATATCTGTCATTGGGGTTTAGGTTTAATTAAGGCTGTAACGAGTTGACGAGGCCCGATATAAGGGCCATATAATCATACCAAATAAAACGTAACGAAAAATCCAAAAATACACACCAGGCGCTGGGCACTGGGCGGCGACTCATCCGGTTTATTGCACATTTCACGTGCCCGCCGACAAGTATGCTACAAATATTTGCTTAGTGATACGGCTAGCGGGAGATACGGTGGGGGATGTTCTGCGTATCAGTTACGCCCGGAAACCTCTCGACTAAATTTTTTTTTTTTTGACAATTTTGAGAATGTGAAATCAAGAAAAATAGATGGCACTAGAAAGTTCATGTCTAAAAATAATACCATTTCATACAAAAAAAAATTTAGAAAAAAATTCCAAAGTTGAAGAAACATTAAAAATGATAGAAAACTTAAACTTTGAGTCGCTATATCTTCAGATATATACATTCTATTACCACGAATCAAAAATCCTGGGAAAGGTACTACAATTTTTTTGGCAACCTATTACTTTTTGTGGATATCCGCGCTGCAGGTTCTGAGTAAAAATTATGAAAATGCAAAGAGTCATCGAATTGCGGTTTTTGAATTTTTAATAAAGATTTTGTGAGTATATTGCAAATTTTAAGTATGAGGAAGTGATCTACTCATCACGGCCCACACCTAAATTTTTTCTCGTGCAAAGTACAAAATGACTGTCGCACAGTGCAATTAATCTATTCGGAATCCGTGCGAAAAAGTTTTCCAGAACAACACTCCAAAAATCTCAGCGTAATTAGTTTTGCGATAATATCATTATCAATTGCACGTCGCAGCGCTTTTTGAGCGACACGACACATATGCCGCCGATTGCACAAGCCCCACAGGCGAGGGAGGCGTGACGCACTTGAATGGAGGCAAGCCCCTGTCTGAGGTGTGTGTGTGGGTGGCATGTGGCCTGATGCAATTTAGCACGCAAAAATCGTTTAAGACGATTTCAACGTGAAGCAGCAGCAGATAAAAAAGTCACAACAAAAAATAACAAGAGCATGACTAAAAATAGTCCAGATATTAAACAAAAATATATGACTTCTGCCAACTTCTCATACGGCTTCCCCCATTCCCTTCTTGTGCCATGGCACACTTGTACTTTACAGCATGGCATTGTTATTGGTTTTCTTTTTTTTGTTGTTTTTTTTTTTGGGGTAAGTGTCATCTTTGGTTGCCCCAGGCAATTGGCAAAGAAAACCCCTATATATGCTTATTTTCTTGGGTCCGCCTTTTAGGCCAAAACAACACACACTGAAAACAATACCAAGGCGAATCGAATCGAACGGAGGGGACAATCAGGTGGGACTGTGGGACTCCATTACGCACAGCAAATTTCACTTTAAAGTGTCTTTCATTTGTTTGGCGGCCTGCGGCCAGTCGCTACATCGGTTATTGACTTCTTGAGTGGTGGTCCTGCCTCTCTGTCTGCCAGGTTTGCGGGCTGTTTGTGTCTGCCATGCCCAAGGATTTGTTTCCGAGGAAGTGCAGGGAAGAAGGGCAACGATTGAGTGAACTGAGGTGAAGGATAATGGTAACCCTGGCGATAAGTTCTTCAATTCAAGTTTACAAATTTAAATAGAAGCGTTATAAATAGCTGAAGTCGATCAAAGTTCAACAATTTATCGATATATGTGCATATTTTAATGATAATTTTTCGATAGCTCAATTAAAGTAATTATTCATATTTAATTGTATCTAAAAATAGCTCAAGTACCGATTTTTAATTTACCCTATCTGTCCATATTTGAAGCACCCAGTATTACGTGAGGCACTTCCCGTTTCCCGTAATACAGCCCCAGATTTATTGGCCCTACCCTAATCAAAGATTTATGATCCCGTCGCCCGTCTATTTGGGGCCCCACAACAATCATCACTCAACTGCAGTCTGTTAATAAACTATTAATAGACGGCTGTTTTGGCACTTCATTTATATTTATATCCCGCCAGTCGAATTGTAAACCGAATCATGACAAAGCAGCACTTCTCAGAAATGGGGGACGAAAACAAAGACCTGCCCTCGACGCAATATGAGAATTTTTGGCGCCAAAATCGCTTTAAATTCTAGAAGGATTTGCATTATAGGGATTTCCGCGGCGTCATCCGTCAGCGAAGTCCCCCAAGAGGGCAAAGACGCGCCCACGCTTCCAAGAAATTCCATGAATCAAATGACGCGTCGGACTGGCAGGGCAGCGTATTGTCAACAAATCCCACACTCTGAGGGAGGGCAGGCAGGCAGGCAGGTCCTGCTACCCGCGCACCTTTGCCTAGGTGTTGACCCTGTGACGCCTGTTCCTGGGCTGGCTTGTTGCCTACTTAGCGGCGCATATCCTTGGCTTTCGGTAAATAATTGCCAGGCATTTGGCTTTGTTTTTTGGCGCCCCCAAACTTATATCGCGAACTGGGGCGCTCAACTTTTGCTAAATGTGATGAAAATATTTCATTGATAAGAAACAAATAAAAAAAAAACATTTTTGAATCTAAAATGCAGACGGTAGAGTAACGTACAAAGGAAGCCACGCACTTTTGGTTGAAGGCTCGTGAAAGCTCTTTTCTTGAAGCTTTTACGCAATTTTTTGTTTGGCGCCTTAACATCGGATGTGGAGTCCGCAAGGCAACCGCAAGGCAACGCGTCGGTCGGAGGCCCGAATCGGTTTCGGGTTCTCGGGTTCGTTTGCCGCGTTCGGCATATGCGTGGCCTTTATAAAAGGAGTCGGCTAGGCGAGTCAACCACGCAGTGCTCAACAAGTAGTAGGAGCAACAGTTGACAACAGTCCAGACAGACAGACAGTCCTCCAAGGTTCCCAGTTACCCATTGTCCAGCCAAGGAGCGCAAGCAAGCAAGTGAAACGGATTAAAACGATATTTAAAACGTGAGTGCAGCATGCAAAAACCACAAACGGAGTAAACGACATGCATAAAAAAACCCATGAAATATATTCCCCAAAATAAGCCTATTTTGTGGTCAGTGTGGCAAGAGATTTGCCTAAGGGATACGAAAAAACTCAACGCGAAATCTTAGAAATGCCGTCGCTTTCGTCATTAACTTGAATGTCAGACAGAAATGCTTGTCAAATGAATTAGTTTACTTGTTGTGGGTGTATCATGTGATTTCCAAAAATTCAGGATTACATTATATAAAGATAAAAAAAAAATAAAAGACAATTAAATGAATTTTTAGCACAAAATAAGAGGAAAAATCTGTGGGCTTAGCTAAAATGTAATTAAAGGTGCTAAAAAAAAAACTTGCAAATATGTAAAAATTTTTGGTAGCTAAAAAAGAGAGACTAAACTATTTAAAAAAAATAATGTAACAGTGATATAATAAGATTTAAAAAAAAAGTATCAGTAGTATTTTTTCTACAACTAAATTAAAAATATTTAAGATAAATTTACAAAAAAAAAATTGTTGGTTTCTTAGACAAGTTTTTCTACCTTTCATTTGGATTTCGCAAACTTTCAAACTACTATCAATTAATTTTTATAAGCATTTTAAAATACATTTCTTAATTGCAAACAGTTGCAAAACCGAAAAAAATTAAATCAACAGAATGATTAAAAATACCTTTCTTCTCAAATTCGACAATTAATTTCTTTGGGTAATTGCAAACAATTTTGTAACAGGCAGAATGTTAAATCCAATTTTAATCATAAAAATATTTGACAGCCTAGTAATATTTTCAGTCTCTAAACATTAAAAAAAAACTACATTTCTAAACTTTATTAAATGTTTCAAAATCGAACAAATTCTTGTGGCCTGTGCAGAAAATTGCTTAAATATTTGATCAATGTGCACAGTTTCAAGGAATCCCCTTCGAGGACAGACATAAATGTCAAGCCCAAATAAACAAACGAAAGAGAAGAAAAACTCTTTTAGCAAACAAATAGAAAAAAGCACAACATATGAGTACTTGTGGAAAAATGTTGTCGAGGTAACATTGGCTCCCCTTCCATTTCCGATTCACCTCAAACCAGTCGAGTATCACGTGCGAAAGTTCCTTGAGGATTGAATGAAAAGTAAAAAAAAAAATAATATTAAAAATACGAGAGAAATCGAAGGCGTTCCATCGGTGGGCAGCATCCTCCCACTGTTCGCATGTGTCCTGCGTCCTATTTCTGTATATGTTTTCTTGCTTGGACATCTTGGGGATCAAATTCAAGACCGCAGGCAATTCCATTCACCCCCCTCTAAGATCGCTATTACCGACGCGACAGCGAATTCGAGTAGCCTTCTGCATCGATGCTATAATAATCCCATATCAGGTGTGCCTCGTACTTGACTGAATATTGCGTGAGATGTAGGCAGGGTTCGTTGCTAGGCTTAAACACTTGCTAAGGGACGCCTCATCAATGGAGTTTCTACTCTGATTTATTGCATATTAAATATAGAATATACAGCTGCTAAAAGTCACTTTGAAATACTCTTTTGAGCTGAGTATTTTCACCCTAAAAACTCTCCATACAATTTTCTTTCCATTGTCATCTGAACATCTATTTTGTCGCTAACATTTTTTGTGTAACCTTTGAAATTTCTTACCAAATTTCAACACTGTCCCCGCCATTGGAAGGTGCCTGCGACTGGTGTCCCTGCTGGGCCCAATCCAATAAATATGAAGTTATGCAATCGTCATCAACTGCGATTGCGAGGGTGGATTGCAAGGGAATCTCTGTGGGACTAGGACATCAGGCAGAGCTTGACTAATTGGCTACTGGTCCACGGCCATATGTCAGATGCACTTGTCTGGTCTCAGGCCCCATTTCGACCATATCCAGGTTTATTCTACCGTTTAATCACGCTTAGTCAACGCTAATTAAACAAGTTTTTGCACTATGTACACTCCACTACAAATGTCAAGTTTTGCGTGGGTGGAGAGCAAGGCCAAACCCACGCAAACTTCACCCAATATTCCCCCTGGGCTAGGGCCCACTTTCTTCTGTATTTTAGCTCAATTTAGCAATTAGCCGTGTGGTTATTGCGAAAGGAGAATGGCACACACAAGAAAAAATATAGAGGAAACACAGGTGACAGGAAAAATGTGCTGTTACAGTTAGTTGCCATACACTCACTTATTTTAGCCCTGGTGCTGCTGACCACTAAATTAATTTCATTTTACCTCGGGGACAATGTCCCCCGAAACGAACGCAATTTTTGTACACAAAATATTCGTGGAATGTTCGAGGGTATATGGCTGAGAAGGTTAGCATTAATGTATCTAACTCCTCGTTGGCAACTCCTCGGGATCGGGGTCCCAGCAATTTTCAATGCATTTTCATTCATGCAAGCAAAAGTTCTGCCCGAAAATATTGCCACATCTTTTCTTCTTTATGTTTGAGAAATTATTTGAATCAACTTAAGGTCCAAGACAACACTGACTAGAGGGTATCTTTAGTCTTAATATTTTCTGCATTTTTTGTCTCCATTCACTTTTGGACTTTGTGTCAACAAGTTAATTAAAGCATTTTGACAACGATTCCTGTTTTGTTTGCGTTGTTTGTCCTTCCTGGCACTCTCTCTTTTGCACCCTCTTTTTTTTACCCAATTTCTCTGTGAAGTTCGCTTGCTTTTTCGCTCAATTCCCTTCAACTTCCGGTCTTCAATAACGAACACGAAAAGTGTTGCCTACTTCTGAGTGCCAATCAAAATGAGGTAATTGAAAAAGTTTTTTGTGGAGAGAAAATGAAGAAATTAAAGTTCATGGTGAGAGTAAGTGCGCGAAGCCCAAAGTTTATTGCAATTTATGTTGCAAATTATTGTTATTTACTTTTAAAAAACAATACGGCACAGAATAAACTAAACAAGTGCCATTTAAAGCTATATTTTTGGCCAAATTTGGCGGCAGAAAATCCAATGTCATACGCAAACAGGGTGAAAAGTTTGAGTAAATTATAAGCTTCACACTTGAGTTGAATGATTTCAATCAAACTGAATTGAAACGTGCCTGGAAATGGTAAACAGAAAAGTTCTGCTCACCAGAGTCAATTTTAATAAATTGCCAAATGCAAAATGGAGAATATTTGTATTTGTTGGGTTCCTTTCTTTTGTTGCTTTGATTGGGGCGTGTGTGAGTTGATTTATTTATTGAGGTTTATGTGTTTAATTAGGCGTATAATTTTAACTAATTTACATAAGAAACGTTTTACGCAGACAAAAACATTTTATTGGAATTTGCAAACATTTTTTATCTGCTGCTGAAAATAGACGCTAATAAAACAAAGCTGTGGCTCAACCATTTTTAGAAATTAATTTCACTTCACACTTTTGAGCCCCAACAACGCTGTTTTATTTATAAAGCAAACATCGTATATTTTTTTTTTGTATTCTCTCTGCCTTTTCTGCTGTTTCTTTGGTTAACAAATTAAGCCAATCCTAGACATTGCCACGAGACCACAAGTGCCAAAAGTTCCATGCAAACCCATTTATAATATTCATCAGGCAAAAGTTATTAAACGAAGCAAGAAAAAAGCAAGATAAAAGACGAGGAGAAGCCCCTGCCATGGCTATGGAGTATGGTACTGGGGCCTGGGCTTGCGGCTCAGCCTCAGCTAATGGGCTGCAAATCCACAGCGAAAGAGTTAAGCCGACCTTCGGTCTCTGGTCTCTGTTTCGGTCTCCCACCCACACCTATCCGTTACTCAGCAGCGTTGCCAACACCCGCCTTCTCCTTACACCTAATTAAATGTGACGACAACAACGCATACCACAGTGGCTTGGCCGCATAATGAAAACGCGTTGCAGTACATGACAAAGCAGCAAGCACCAAAAAAAGCAACAACAAGGCACAGGGGGAACAGTCGTTCAGGGTTAAACGAAAAAGGGAATGCAAGAAAAATAAGAAGAGATTTTAAGTAGAGGGGTACGAGGGGTAAGGAGTAAAGAGAGTATATAGCACCTATAGTGTAGGTAGGAATAATATAAAAAATAAGTAAGGTGTTTTCTGCCCGTTCTCAATGCTTAGTTAAAGTAATTAAAGCTTTCCGATAAATGATAAATGACTGCACATCGAAGGGCCACTTAACATGGACGCGTAACACGGAAATGCAACAAACAGCCAACCCCAAAAACACAACAAAATAATAATAATAAATGAAAAATGTCACACGTTTGTCGTCGCATTCCATTCCACTGTGCACGCGCGCGAGAAGACAGATTAAGCGAAGCGAAGAAGGCATGCGCGCGAGAGAGCGAGAGAGAGAGTGAGTGAGAGCAAACAGAAAGCGAAGGCGGAGGCAGCAGCCGAAGTGACTCTGCGAAGTTATCTAACAGACGCTTTTTGCGCTTCTCCCTCTCCCTCGCTCTCACACTCCACGATTCGTTCGTTTTCTTCTCGGTGGGTTCTTCGCTTTTTTGCGTGTTTATGCGTGCATTGTTTGCTTAAACACAAAAAGAGCGGCGTCGCCCACACGCATTGACAGGCGAAACGGTGGGAGAGCCTGCCAGGGAGGCGGAGGCGGAGGCTGGAGTGGGCATACACACACACATACACATCTAGCTGTAATGCTAGTGATGGTAATTACCCTCATGTATACATACATACATATCCATTTATGCCTTGCAGCAGGAACGAACGACATCAACCCGCGCGCAGCTAATCCCGAGAACAACAGCCAAGGCACACACACCACACGCACAGAGAGAGAGAGAGAGAGTGGAAACAGCGACGCCAACATGAAGCCCGACCTACTTGCTCTCTGCATTCTGGCCACCCTGATCTTGGGCTGCAACACACGGCACGTCTTTGGCTTTCTGACATCGCAGAGCCAAACGGCCGCTGCCGCAGCACCCGCTACAGTGGATGGCGGCATCGATGGTGCATCCTCGCCGCAGAGATTGCATTTGCCGCCCATCTTTGGCGGTGGCATGCCATCCCATCAGGCGCGTCGTCAGGGCCCCCCATCGCTGGATGCCGATGCACAGGAACGAGCGGTTTACGATCCCGGCGATGGTGAGTCCAGTCATAAACTTGAATTACAACAAACCCTTCCAACGGACAGACATTCTTGAGGGTTTAGTCAGGTGGCGCTGGGTGGGGATTTACAGGGCGTTGCTAATCCCACAACGATTGGAAAATCGCCCCCAAGGGCAAATGTAAAAAGTATTGATGGACAATTAAATGGGTCAAAGGTCGCCAGGCAACCACCAAAGCGAATCTCATTTGCAAGCACACATTTTGTTTACCGACTTTTAGGCGACCCAATAAGGAGGGTAGCCACGGCTGGGGGTGGGGTTACTGGGGTTTGGCCTGCACTTAGCCGTGACCACCATCCATGCCCGCGCCTAGTCCCACGATTATAATGGACACAATGGCTAAAATCGCTGAACATTTTTCGGTCAATGAACAATTTTTGAAGTGCCTCTAACACATGCACATGGCAACACTTGTATTCACTTGTGTCCTTCTGTCTGTCTGTCTGTGTGTGTGTGTGTGGACAGCACTCAACACGCCCACAGTTTTGTTGTTTTATTTTTTAGATTTGACGTTTTTTTTGATGAATTTGATTTGACGTTTGCGTTTTACGTCATCCCAAGGGCCACAGTTCCACTTCAGCAGCGTTGACAACCCTACCCCTTTACGCCCACTGCCACTGCCGCTGCCGCCTATCAAATTATCGATAATTCATCGACTGCTTCTTCAATTGATTTGTTTTAGGGAGTAGAAAATGGAAATGGGAATGGAATATCAATATCAAAGAAATGTTTTAGTAAACATTTAAACTGTCTTTGATCACAGAGTTGCACTCTCCAGCCATGTTTTTGGTCTCCATCTGTAGCTTGAGACCAGGCGGAGAATCATACAAAGCCTCTGGCTGGACAGTGACAGGCAGACAGGATGGCAAAATGAGACAAAAGGCAGACTGCAGCACGCAAAACTGACGGACTGACTATTGACGTCAACAAGGCGGGGGCGGGGAACAAAAAGAGATGGAATATATATGGGAATATATATGGAATATATATGGGAATGGTATGTATGGATAGTAGAATGAAACTCATTGCCGGCCAGTCAATTTCCGTTCGCATATTGAAACGAACGACGCCCGCGCAAAGGGAAAATGTGTTTTTTTTTTAAGCCTCGGGCTGGAGCCAAGCGGGAGCGGGAGGCGTCAGGGCAGACAAACACAAACACAAAAACTATTCAAACTTTCAAATGTCAAAAGGCGGAAGTGCTCATGGAAGGGGGGGGACACAGAGCTAAGGCATTTCCGAGAGTAGAAGGAGGAAATGGTTCGAAGGAAGTTGTGGCCGGATTAGCGGCAACTTGAGTAAACATTAAAACCACAAATAAGGACTTTGGTTTGCTCATTTCACGGCAGAGCTGCTGCACGCCCTGAATGCCGAACGGGAGCAGCAGCAGGAGCAGGAGCTGGCCCGTGGACTGGGCATGGGCATGGGCCTGATACCCCAGCAACAGCAACAGCAACAGCCCGACTATGCGGACACCGTTTACAACGAACTGGAGTTGGCCAATCAGTTTGAGACGCTCAAGAAGCTGGAGGAGGATTTACGGGCCGAGCAGGAGCTGGTGGACAAATCCGCTTTGCTCATGAAAATGCTTGAGGTACGTGAACGGGGAAGGGACCTTTAAAGGAAATAACTAGCACGAAACTCTTGTCTTTCGTGCAGGATCCCACGCTGGAGACTTTACCACTGGTTTATGTCGAGGAGGAGGAGGAGGACGAGCAGCAGCAGCTGCCTGAGGGCATGATTGCTTCCGCTCCAGCCACGGATGAGTATGCCGAAATGGAGAACAGCGTTCAGGATCTGGTCCTGGGCCAGAGCAAGCCCAAGCGTTCGCGTTACTACCGTCGCTATCCATGGAAGCGTCACAACAAGAATCGCGGGTAAGTTGCAGAATTTCCAAGGAAAATTCCAACAAAAAATTCCATAAAAATCCCCAAATAAAACACTTGCTGCTAGCTTTAGATCCCTTCCCTAGTTACCTTACCACCCCTAAAACCTCCACAAACTTTTCTTTGTTTGTAGTTAGTGAATGTTTTTTTTTTTTTTTTTTTTTTTGGTAGTAGCTTAAAACCAGGTTAACCTTAAAGCTTAAACAGGGGCATGTTCCTCCAAATGCCAGCCACATAAATGCCACATAATATCACATAATAGTTTGCCATGGAAATTGATCTGAATTGATGTGCTGACTGGCCTTTTGGGGTAGCAAACTCCAAAAAATCACAAATCACAAATCAAAATCTTTAACTATGTCTAATGCCATCTCTAAGAGTTTCTCTAGGCGAACAGAACACACACAAGCAAAGACACACCACTGAAAAAATAATAATAATAAATAAAAACCCCAAAAGCGAAGATTCCCAACCAAAAAACAAACCTCTGGCCGAATTTTACGCTACTCTACCAACTAATTGAACGTGCTGACGTGAAAAAGAAACTTTCTAATTACATAACTGTTACCATTATCAGTTCTTACATGAATTCTATCAACAGTAACTATGAACCGGAGCTGCGTTATGCCTGTACGCCCAGCAAGGAGGATATACTGAAGCTGCTCATCAATCTGCATGAGAATCGCAAGGGGAATCACAGCAAGACGGTGAACTTTTGCAATCGCAAGCGTCCGGCCAAGGCGGTCTTTACCAATATACGATTTCTGGGCTAAAAAGAAGGATGTTTGCAGCACACACCACAGACACACCACAGACATACAAACACGACACACCAACCACACACACACACACACACACACACATATGTATACCAAGCATCAATTGTATATTGCTGACCAAGTCGAGCGCTAAAACTGGAGAACAACAAGCACTAACAATTAGCCTAAATAACTAACTAACTAACTAACTAACTAAAAAAATATACACTAACTAAAAGTAAACTTTGTAGAGAACAATTTAGAGTTCTCTCTCACTCTTTCCTGCCTTTCCCCCGCCCCTCCTTAACCTAACTCTAATTGTAGGACAATTAAAAACTTTTATAGCTCTCAATGTGTTGTATATACTAACTAACTATTTAGACAAAGTTGTTCCATCGTCTCGTTCGCGTTCCACGTCTTAATTGCTAAACGAAACGATTTGCAAAACACAAAAAAAAAAAATATATATATATATGTTGCCATATCATTAAAAAACAAAACACATTTTAATCGTCCCGTGAACGTCCCCGCGGTCGCTCGGTCCAAAGCCACGAGTATTATAAGAGCTCTAATAAAAAATGGAGCCACGCAACTAAATAATATCATTGCTACTATATCAATGTGTATATATATACTAATATCTATGTATTAATATCTGTGCACTATATGTGTATGTTTTATCTGCTATATCTAATGTAAAGTCGATAAATATACATGTCAAAAGTAAACCCATCAAATACAATTATTCTTGTGCAATTATATACGGCAGAGTGAGTTTTCTTTTTCAATTGGGTGGAAAGTTGAGCCAAAGATAATGGAGAACTTGGGAAGCATAAAAAGGATTGCTACAAGGAAAATTCTTTGCTTAAAAATAAATAAAGAATAATAAAGCCTAAATATCAGACATTGAGAGTAGTTCGAAATAGGCGTAACATTCGAAAATTCTAAAATTCAAAACATTTTAAGGTTCAAGCAGAACAGGAGAAGATTATTTTTTTACTATTATTAGGACGTTATTATTATTATTATTATTATTTTTTTTTTTTTCATTACAAATTTTTTTTTTTTTAACTTTTTTCTTAAACAATATTTTTATTATTTATTTTACATTGGGACAGGGAAAACATATAGAACAAATTGGGGATTACTTTCAGGCATCAATACCCGAATTCCTGAATTCGTGAACGAAACACAATGAAAGTTTTAATTAATTTTAATGATTCTGGGTGAAAAGTATTTAATTTGGATCCACAGATTCGAATTATTTGAGTTCTATGAGACACTACGTTTCGGTTTCCAATCAACTATAGATTCGAGCAAGACTAGAATGAGTAAATACAAACTATGCGAGAGCATGTTTTTTAGGTGTTTTATGGTGATGCAAGAAATTTAGTTAGCAACATAAATTACAGCCCTTAGATATGTATCTTTAGTGTACACTGTACAGATCTCAATCTCAATCCAATGTCTCATCACTAGGAAACTTTCTTAGGCAAAAATTCAAAGCCTTGTATTTGCATTCAACTTCATTTGATTTCCTTGAAGCGAGATTCCAAGGTTAGATCTTTGGAGGTTAACTTTCGAGCGAACAAAATGACTCAAGGAAAGATTTTCCATTTGCTATTTCCATTACAAATCCCCCTCTTTGTGTATGCCACATAAGTACTGTGATTGTGGCGAGAGTTGACACCTTGGCTGGGAAGTGTGAGAATGCTAGAATCTTGCTGCTGGCTCTGGCACTGGCACTGGCCCTGCCACTGCTCTGACATTGAGCAGAGATTCTGGACTTGCTCTGGGTGTTTGCTCTTGGACAACAAAGCTCTTGCCACAGAGGTTATCTTATGTATGACGAGCGCCCGCTGCTGTGGCTGACAGCCGGAAGCGGCAAGCGGAGGGGCTAGTGCGGCAGGCAGCTCGTGCCTTCGTCTTGGTAATGACCACAGTGCGTGTGCTCCACAGAGTGCCTGCCCCCCACACCGATGACTAAGCAGAGACGGGGCGAGACAAAGAGAGAGAGCAAAAAAGGCATATGGGCTTTTTTTTTTCTGTCATATATTTCATGCATTTTGGTATGACGTCAACACAATTGCCACGCGCAGATACAAAGATACAGATACACAGAGAGAGAGAGAGAGAGAGAGCTAAGATCGCAGATTGGGGGGTGCGGCGTCATCATTCAACTATATTAAATTCGAGCTGCCCCTCGCCTAGCCAAAGATATTGGGAAACCAACTCCTTAGCGGGGAGAAGCACAGCGGCTTGGTCAGCCAGAGCGTGTCCACGGACAGCTTGAGCACCTCCATGTAGTCGAAGGTGCAGCTGCTCTGCTCGAAGGCCTTCGTCACCAGCTGCGTTTGGGGCTGCGTCTGGCTCTGGGCCAGCGCCTGCGGCTGAACTGGAAGTTTCTCCTCTTCCTCTGCGTCGTCCACGGCGGAGCGCGCGAACGCCTCATCGCCATCAAAGTAGTAGAACTCCTTGCGCGTGGAATTGGTTTCCACCACCCGCGAGGGCTGGTGCTCATCCAGGCCACGAGCGAAGGACACGCGTCTGGTCTGGCGATATGGCGTGGCGGCAAAGGGCAGTGGATAGCCCCCATTCAGGTAGCCCCCTTGCAGGGGCCATAGCAGTGGCTGCTGCTGCTGCAGCGTTGGATAACCCACTGCAGATGGATATGCGCCTTGCGGCCAGAGGGCCCATGCCCAGACCCAGACCCAGGCCTCGCTGCGGTTGCTGCTGCTGCTGCTGCTGTTGACCCACGCCCAAGCCCAGTCCAAAGCCAGCGCCGGCATCCTGACGACAGCCATCAGAGTCCTGATCCTGATAGATCTCCAGCAGGAAGCCATTGGAGCTTGTGCCGCCCGACTGGCCCATTCGCATGCGCAAAGCCTTTCGACCCTGGCCCCAGTGCGATTTGTGGACATAGCCAGAACGACAGCCGCAATAGCGTTGGCCATCCAGCTCCAAGAAATCGCCCGTGCAGGACTGTTGGCCACCCAAGCCGCCTGCTCCAAAGCCGCCTCCTCCAAAGCCGCTTCCGCCCAAGCCGCTTCCTCCCAGTCCACCTGCGATGCCTCCTGAATTCTGGCCAAAATCAAAGAACTTGAACTGAATCCGCAGACGACAGACATTCGGGGAACTCTTCTCGATGTAGAACACGCAATCCCGTTGCTGATTGGGCAGCAGGGCGTTCAGCACAGTCCTTGGGAAGCCGGGACTGGACAGGTAGAAGTGATTCTGATTGAAGCTGCTGGAACAGCACAGATCCAGCGAGCCGCCAAACTGCTGCTGACTCTGCGAGTCGTAGTCCTTGAGCGTCACCGTCGGTGGCTGGAAGGCACTGGTTTGGTATTGATCAGAGATTAGAGGCAATTGTTGCTGCTGTTGCAATTGTTGCTGCTGCAGTGGACTCTGCTGCAAAAGTTGCTGTTGCTGTTGCAGCTGTTGCTGCTGCTGTAAAAGTTGCTGCTGTTGCAATTGTTGCTGCTGTTGCAATTGTTGCTGCTGTTGCAATTTTTGCTGCTGCTGCTGCAGTGGGCTCTGCTGCAAAAGTTGCTGTTGCTGTTGCAATTGTTGCTGCTGTTGCTGCTGCTGCTGCTGCAAAAGTTGCTGCTGTTGCAGTGGATTCTGTTGCAAAAGTTGCTGCTGCTGCAAAAGCTGCTGCTGCAAGTACTGCTGCTGCTGCTGTTGTTGCAGCAATTGTTGTGCTGCTGCTGCTGCTGCCTGTTCTGCTGTTGTGGCACGCAGGGCGGCGAGTGTTGAGGTGGCAGGTAAAAGCCTCCTCCAGTTGGCACTCCCTGAGGATAAAATGGCGGCACTGCAGCAGCAGCAGCAGCAGCAGGCCAGCCCACATTGAATCCCCAAGGATTTTGCTGTGTAAAGTTCAATGGCTGCTGCTGCGGCTGCTGCTGCTGTTGCTCTTGCGGCTGCTGTGGCTGCAGCAAATGGTGATGATGATGTTGCTTCTTGGACGGAAACTTGGCACTCACTTGCACCGTGTCACCATCAACCGCATCCTCCACATCGTCCTCGCTGTCGGCATCCAGGCCCCTGGAGGCCAGATCCAGCTGCTCCCGCTCACAGGCCAGACGCGTGACCAAAAGCCGAAAGCCTCCGCCCGTTGTCCACGGCGATGCGTCGCTGAGGAAGCGCAAACGCAAGACGCCGTCGGGTGTGTGATACTTCTTGATGCCCAGCACCTGGCCGCAGAGCACATCCATGTCCTCGCCATCGTTCTCCAGGCCAATGGCCAGGTAATCCCGGCCGCACTTCTCCGACAGCTCCAGCTTAAAGTCAAGAAATTGCACATGGAACTTGGTGGGGCAGCGATACGGCGAGCGTATCACATAATCCCAGCAGGTGTTCACCGGATAGTTGGCCGGATAGTTGGGCGACTCGATGACACTCTGCCGCTGCCTGTAGATGCCATGCAGGCCGCACTGCGGCAGCTCATCGTGCACGGCCGCCTGAAGTCCGCCCGGAGCACACCCGAGAAGGCACAGCACGAATACGATTACTGGTAGCTCCTGGAGGGCCATGTCGCTGTCGATGTTCTCCGTCCGCTGTTAAAGCGCTCTGAAACGCAACTAACTCGAAACGGCTGTTTGCCCGCGCCGAAAAATAAGTTGGGTGCGTCGTCGTCGTAGCTTGGGGGCCCTCCAAAACAATTTGCACTTTTGTTTGTGGAGCGCACAACAAAAGCCGACACTTGTTTGCCACCGACTGGGCCTCATCTCTCCATTCATAACTGGCGCTGAACCTGGTTCACTGAACCCACCCCCTCCCTCCCGCACAGTTGGACAGCAAGTATTTGGAGGTGCCAAAAGGCTCATAAAAAAAAAAAGCCTCCATTAGATTGCATTGCAAGCTAAAGTTTGGCCAAGATGATTCACACACGCCCAACATGTGGGGCGGGGGGTTCTCTCCGCCAAGATCATATCTTATCAACACCCCCCCGAAATTCCATTCATCAGAGATTCCAAAGCAAAAGGCAAGTCGCAGAAGTCACCTTCTGGGTGGGGGTTTCTCCTACGTTTATGATGTGCCATCTTCCAAGATCATATCGGGCTGTGCAGCAAATATATATACCACCAGTTAATCCTTCTCGCAGCCATAAACTCAATGTGGAGCGCACTTATCGCTGCCTCTCACTTTTGTTTGTTTGTTCTTGCAGCTGTTTAAATATTTTCCTGGTTGAAATCGGAAGTTTTTCCTCGCACTTCACAAATATTTGAACCAAAGAGAAACGTAACATTTTCTACTTCCGCTGTGGTTGGGTTCCATAACCATGTCACCATGTCACTTATGTAACTGCCGATGAGCTAAAAACAAATATTTCGAGTCGTGGGAGCGCGCAACTTGCATACAAAAAAATACCCAAAACAGTGTCAAGTAAATAAAAAGCTTATTTGTGACTTAATATTTCCTCTTGGCTTGCTTTTGCCTGCTTTTGCAAGGGGCATTAGCATTAATCCTACCCAGAATTTGGCAAAGACTTTTTGGACTGTGATAAGCGGGTGCTATGATGATCTCTGAGGGTTTGGCAATGGCAATGAAATGTTATGATACACAGCGCAGGGGATAGAGATTTTAAAGTACAGCTGTGAGTGTGTCAGCGTTGTCCTCCAGTCATTGTTCACACATAAACACCTTTTTTGTGATTAAGATGCACTTAAGACAATGCGATGCCTAAAATTTAATTGAATTTAATTTAATTGTAATATTGAAATTTTGTTTATCATTTTTAATGTTGCTGCAATTATGAAATTTTGTATGTTATCTGTGGCAGGGGCTTACACAGTTTTGTAGTGACATTCCAACAACATAAGCTAGAATTATTTGATAAATTAATACAATTGTCTATTGCACTTAGTTGAACAGTAGAAATAGCACAAAACTTTAACTTTGGCTGAAAATGTCGTAATTCTTGCGACACAAATAAAACCATTCCATGAAAGGTCATTTAAATATCCTTTTTAGCCTATCAATTGTTTGGGTTAATGGGCTGCAAAAGCCGAGTAAAAATTAATAAATAATTAATTAGTAATTAATTAATAATTAATAATAATTATTAATATTAATAATATAATAATTAATAATAATTAATTAATTAAATAATAAAAATTATGCGCAGTCACCAAATCGCACTTTTGAAATTTTTAAAATATTTGTAATTCAATAAGTTTTAAATTTCTTTTTCGAATGTTAATTTTTTAATTTTTGTAAAAACATTTTAAATTCAATAAGTATTGAGTTAAGCTTTTAAAGGTGCAACATTACCCCCAGAAAATAACTCTGTTAATTCTCTTTTTGTTATGATATCTGTAGCCATGGCTTCAGAAATAATCAAAAGTTTCAAAGATAGTTTTTAAAGATATTTTAAGGCTGAATAATATTACCCAACAAATTAATTTAAAAAAACTATAGAGCTGCTTTAGACTCTTTTCAACCGTATGATTCAACTAAATTCAACTAAGAACTCAGTAAGAAAGAGAGCCCCATGCAGATAGTGCATGAAGAGACCCAGTAAAATCTGAAAATTGCATGCAACTTCTCTTAGTGCGCTGCCATAAATTATACTCGCACGTAGGACTACTATAGATATATATATATACAACAGACTGACTTTATTACTGGCGAAATAGTGTGCAAATATTGTGCCCCAAAGAAAGTAAGCAAGATATATATTTACATGGTCTGACGATAGAATGCCTGACAACGGAGGGGGGCCTTGACAATCATTCGACGCGGATTAGTCATATTTGCATGCAGCAGTGGGCGCTTCTGCTGAAACGGCAATTAAACTGGGGCCAGGCGCAACGTAATACCGCTCTTAAGAACTTAAGTGAGGGCTACAGAATCAGATAAGCGGCGCCACTGCTTTGCTTTCTACTACTAAGCCCCCTGGTACACTTGCATTACGTGACTCCGCTTGTATAAAAAGATCGGACGTGTGAAGATTTGGCATCAGTCAGCCAGCCAGTCAGCCATTAGCCGAATAGAAATTGCAATTAGAATGTTTGCCACGCCCCTCAGACAGCCGAGCAGTGCCAGCGGTGGTGGGCCAGCAGTGTCAATGGATGGCCAGGAGACGCCGTTTCAGTACGAGATCACCGATCATGGGTACGGCAAGGATGCGGTGAAGGTGCTGCATGTCAGCCGCAAGGGACCCGTGCACACCATCCAGGAGTTCGAGGTGGGCACACACCTGAAGCTGTACAGCAAGAAGGACTACTATCAGGGCAACAACTCGGACATTGTGGCCACCGACTCGCAGAAGAACACCGTCTATCTGCTGGCCAAGAAGTACGGCATCGAGAGTCCCGAGAAGTTTGCTCTGCTGCTGGGCCAGCACTTTCTCAACAAGTATTCGCATGTGGAGGAGGCGCACATCCATGTGGAGACGTATCCCTGGCAGCGTGTCTGCCAGGAGGAGACAAAGGCCGTCACCAGTCAGAGTCAGGTGGGTCAGGTGGGTCAGGGCGGCTGCAACAATTTCAGTTCCATTGACAATCGTTCGCTGCATAACCATGCCTTCATTTTTACGCCCACGGCGCTGCACTACTGCGATGTGGTCATACGGCGGAAAGGTGAGTGAGAAGAGAACCTATGCCAACCATTACTTACCCCTGGTACCCTGTAGATCCCAAACAAACTGTCATCAGTGGCATCAAAGGGCTGCGCGTCCTGAAGACCACCCAATCCTCGTTCGTGAACTTTGTGAACGATGAGTTTCGCTCGCTGCCGGATCAATATGATCGCATCTTCAGCACTGTGGTGGAGTGCTCCTGGGAGTACTCGGACACACAGACGGTTAACTTTTCGCGCGCCTGGCAGGTGGTGAAGAACATCATCTTGAGGAACTTTGCCGGCGATCCACAGGTGGGCGTTTCATCGCCCTCCGTGCAGCATACGCTGTACCTGAGCGAGAAGCAGGTGCTGGATGTCATACCGCAGGTGTCGGTCATCTCCATGACCATGCCGAATAAGCATTACTTCAATTTCGATACAAAGCCCTTCCAGCAGATTGTGCCCGGGGACAATAATGAGGTTTTCATTCCGGTGGACAAGCCGCATGGCACCATCTATGCCCAGCTGGCACGCAAGAATCTCAGTCATCTTTAGCAACGATTTTCACTATGATTTAGCATAAATTTAGCAAAAAATTAAATAAATACGCGAATTCAGGAAAAAACGCGGGACAAAGCTCAATCGATAAATCGCTGGGGGGTTTGTAATCGTTATCGACAGTGCTGTAAAGCACGATTCAGTTCAAATTTAAATTTGAATTCAAAAGCAGAGCAGTGCTGGGAGTTATTTGTTAATACAAATTGTACATTTAGTTTCTAAATTCTAAAATGAAAAATCAATTTCGTGAAAAATTCTAGTTTTTAACATCTTTGGGCATCAAAATTCGCTAGCTAAATTATTTGTGATCTTAAGCAAAAAGAGACAAAAAAGAGTTTAAGCTCGCGGCACGATGGCACAGCGACTGGATTTGGCTAATATATTGAGGAATCAGCTGAACGAGAACCGTGAGCAGGGCGGGGGCAATCTGAGACTGGCGCCAGCGACCAAAAGAGAAAGGGCCGCCTTAAATCGCTTCAAATCGAACGGACATGATCCCATTGAGAACCATTTCTCACAGAAGCCGGATGTGATGAAGACCATCGACAATATGGTGGCCAACATACACTCCACCATGAAGGGTAAGTCTGAAATGGAACTAAAATGCGCAGCAAAGTTAACCGAAGCCACAGCTACTGCACCGCCGCGGAAAGCTGTTCCCTCGATACCAGCGCCCATAGCACTGATTCCGGAAGCGCCGACACAGAAGCAGACTTCGACCTCACGCAATCGCAGCAAGTCCGCACGCAGCAAATCCGCGTGCAGCAAGAGCGCCCGCAGACGAATGTCCTCGCGCAGCAAGTCCGTTACGCTCAGCAAGTCCGTTTCGCGCTTCAAGGGCGGCGGCACTGTGGCCGCCCCCAACCGGGGCAGCTCCACGGGCGTGGTTACGTCCTTCAAAACGAAAACGCTGCCCATTGCGGCCATGAAGGCCAACCTGGACCAGAAGGTGACGCTGATGATGCGGCGCGGACTGAATGATTTGGGGAGCGGCAAGACTTTCACCAATCAGCGACGCATTCGCGAGGTGTTGCAGCAGAAGGTGATGCTCGAGCAAATGCTGCTGCAGCACCGCAGACTGCAGCGCGACAGGCAGACCATTGCCCTGGACATACAGCGGATGCGTGAGGATCTGGACAGGATCCGCAACAAGTTGGATACGTCGCTGCAGAGCCTCCAAGCGACTCGCACTATCACAGGGGCCGCTGCCAAGGCCAAGAAGCCGTCCACGCTGAAGATGGTCAGCATGTCCGCCACGGGTCGGAGGCCGTTCAGTGCCGCCTCTGGGGGTCGTCGACCTTTCAGTGCCGCCTCCTCGGGCCGGCGACTGTTGAGTGCTGCCGCTGCAGCTACTGCTGGATACAACGTCAAGGCAACGTCTCCCCTTACCCAAGCGAGTGGCATCGTTCAAAAGCGACGAATGTCTGTACGCTCGACGACAAAGCGTCGCGGGGCATCGACGAAGGCATAAGTCATGGAGGGCTGCTGCACTCTAACATTAGCTGGGATTCACAAAACGCTCACTTTACTTTATACACATCCCGGCTCTGAAATCTATTAATAAAATTTAGCGCAACTTGGCAATCAATTTAATATTATATTGAATTTTTGAATTAACCCAGGGTTGAAAATGTGCGCCAATTCCTTTTCGATAGTCGATTTCATATCGATATATCGCATATAAATACTAATACTAGCGTGTAGGTACCATGTAAAATATCGATTTTGCCATCAATATACTATTTTCAAATGACCGCCAAACACCATTTAGCGCACAAAAAATACTGCATTTTCCTTCTCAATTCGTGGGGATGTGGGCAACAGATCTGAACACCTTGGGAATATGGATATTATGGACTTGAGTTTGTTTGTTTGTAATATCAGACTCCAATTAATGCAGAAACTACTCAGTCTCTGTTTAAAAGATATCAACGAAATTTTGCACTTCACGGGTTCCAATAATAGGAATCGGAGCCGGGATAAATATATTTATACAACACAAAACATATGCATTAATATGTCAATCTAGGATAAAATCATTATTTATGTTTCAATGGAGCTTGGAACAACAAATTTAACATCAATGAAAGGAAATAAGGTATACAAAAGTCCATACACATAGAAGAAACTTGGCTGACCAGCAACACTGACGTCACACTTAGTCAAAATTTACGTTTAATGGTTCGGCCGTTTTTGTTTGAACCTTATTAAGTAAACAACGCAATAAAAAAATAGTTCTGAAAACTAGCCAATCTTATAGAAAATTGATGTATCTATCGGATAAAATTATTTTTTTAAGGCTGAGAGGGCCAACAAGCTAGTAATATTAAACAGAATATCAAAATTATGGAATAGACAAAACACTTGAAACTAATGTTTTCAATTTATGGTATTTAAATGGTATTTCTCGAGCTTGAAATGGTATTTTGTGGTATTTATTTTTTATCGCTATCGACACGGTCACGCTGGCGGCGTCCTTTGCAAATTTGTTTTATTTTTCGTTTTAATTAAATTTATCACTTGTTTGCCCAACTGGCAGATTCAATCGGAGCCACCATGGGCTCCTCCAAGAAGCACAAGAAGAACAAATCGGAGCGCCGTGATAAATATGAAGGTAAGAGTGGATGGCGGCGCAGCCACCGCCACCCCAACGTGGAGACGAGACGAGACACTGACACATTTTTGCCGCTTGCTTGCTTGCTTTCGCTGCTCGTGCAGAATATAGCCAGCACCAGAATCCGGCCCAGCTGCAGCGTGGACTGAAGCTCATCCTGAAGGTGGCCACGCCCGAGTACAGCTCCAACAACTCGCACATGACTTCCATTGCAGTGGATGGACCCCCCACGGCGGCCGAGGCCATGATGTCGCCGGTGCCGGATGAGCTGCAGGAGACGGGCGGTCACCGGGAGCGACACAAAAAGTCCAAGAAAAAGAAAAAGAAGAAGGATCGCGAGAAGAAGCACAAGCACCACAAGGAGAAGCGGCACAAGAGCCGCGACAAACATCGAGATGTGGACTCGGTGGATGAAGAGATTGCCGCCCTCGACGATGATGCGGCCTGCAGTGGTTTCGGGTCGCAGCAGGCGGTCGTACCGCCACCAATCATCGACGCCGACTCCAGCCAGGATGGTTTCAGCTTCATGGACGACGATCAGTCGCAGCCGCTGCCAGAGAATATACTTTTTTATGCCGGCATCACCACCGACAATTCGCCGTCCAATTGCCCCGTTAGCAAGCCGATTGCACCGCGCAAACTGGATGAGATACTGATGGCTTCCTCGCCCGCCTCATCATCACTGCCATCGTCATCGCTGGGCCTGGCAGGCAGCAGTCCCACCAAGCCATTGCCAGACGTGAGTAGCTCGAATGTGAAATGGAATTTGTCGATTAACTGAGTTTCATTTGCAGCTGCATATCCCATCGCCTTCCACGCCAGGCGGCGCCAGCTCGCAGAATACGTTGACACCCAAGGCTCTGGAGGCGCCGCGAACTCCCAGCAGCAGCAGTGAGTCCGGGCGCGAGCCACGTAGCTGTGTGCTCAAGCTGAAGCAGCAGAAATCGCCGCTCAACAAGCTGCTGGAGCATCTGCTGCGCTTCCTGGAGAAGCGGGATCCGCATCAGTTCTTCGCGTGGCCCGTCACAGACGACATTGCACCCAACTACTCGTCGATCATCAGCAAGCCCATGGACTTCTCCACCATGCGGCAGAAGATCGATGGCCACGAGTACTCGACCCTAACAGAATTTAGCGATGATTTCAAGCTGATGTGCGACAATGCCATCAAGTACAACCACGTGGACACGGTGTACAACAAGGCAGCCAAGAAGCTGCTGCAGGTCGGAATGAAGCATTTGCAGCCGGAGAATATGATGAGGAGTCTGAAGCCGCTCTCCGGCTACATGCGTGAGCTGACGGCCAAGGAGCTGGGCTTTGAGTTGTGCGCAAATGAGCTGGGCTACGATCTGCACGATTCGGCGGATGAGGGTGCCTCCACGGGCGCAGAGGAGGCACCCACACCCGCTCAACTGGAGGAGGAGGAGCGCAAGCGAGCCTTGCGGCTGGAGAATGCACCCAAAACCCATTTCGAGCCGTATGTGGATGACCTGACCGGCGAGGAGATTCTCGCCCAGGTGCAGAACGCCGCACAGCAGGCCAAGCAGCGTGTCAACGCCAAGAGGAATGCCCACAAAATGGGTTTTCTGCGTCAAGCGCGTGATGGCAGCACCACCTTGAATCTGCTCATCAAGGAGGAGAACGAGGGCCCCGAGCGGGTCGTAACCATTGGCGATCTGGTGGGCAAACTGCAGCGGGGCAGCACACAGCTGCAGATGCGTCAGGTGGATAGCCGCAATGTGGTGAAGCCCGTGAAGCCGCTGAGCTACGGTGCCTATGCCAGCTTTGCGCCCACCTTCGATTCGCGCTTCTCCACGCTGAGTGCCGAGGAGACGAAGCTCGTGCTGCGCACTTACGGCGATGCCTCCAGCGCTGAGTACGCCGAGAGCATTCTCCAGTTCACCAAGGACTCGAGCTTTGGCACCAACATAGCCAACGGCCTGCTGGACATTCTCACCAACGGGGAGCACAGCAAGTCCCTCGACGAGCTCTACAACATGCAGCTGCACTCGTACGAGCAACAGGAAATCGAGAAATGCTTCGACACCGAGGAGTCATCCCCCTCGCAGTCGCAGCCGCTCGAAACCCAAGAGCAAATCGAACAGGAATACGAGAAATACAAGAACACTCGCGTGGACTTTAAGCGGCTGCAATCGCTCAAGGAGCTGGGCATCGATGTGAGCTTCTTGGACAGCATGGAGACGGAGATGAAGAACTTTGAACTCAATCGCCGTATGCACGAGCATCTGAGCAATAATCTCACGCTGATCGAGAAGCTGCGCGTGACCCAGCACGAGCGCCTCTCCCAGCCGCTGCCCAGCCACCTGGGTCTGGTGCAGCCAGCGGGCCAGGAGGAGGCACAAACCGCGCAGCAACTGACACAGCAGATTAGCGACTTGGCCAAGAAGCTGCCGCCCTCCGCCATAGCGGATCCCTTTGCGCTGCGCAAGGCCATGGGCATGTCTTATGGTGCGTGATCATAGCTCTCATTTTTCCCTTTTTCCTGCTTTTAATTATGCATTTCCTATTCCCATAGCTGGCTTACCGCCACCACCGTCCGCCTCACCGCGCGTCCAATTGCCGGAACTTCTACAGCAGCCTGTGGCCCTGCCCCAGCTGCCGCCCGTGCCCATGGACATTGACGAGCCGGATGAGCCCAGTGGCGGCGTCGGTGGAGATCTGGAGAACGAGCTGCGCGAGTTTCTCGAAAGCGGCTCCGGCCTGCACTCATCCAATCCATCCGACGACAACAGCATTGTGGCCCAACTGCTGCTCAATTAGAGCGTTGGATGTGGCTGCGGCTGCCCTGACGCGCGCTATGTTTATAATGTAAGATAACGAAAGTTTTGCTAAATTATTTTCATATACATATTCAATCGAAATTAGCATTCTGAATAAAAATGTAAGCTAGAAACTAAAGCAAAGGATTTATGGCTCGCACAAGAGAGGCTCCAACAAGATAAAGGAATTTACTTGCAATAATTCCCGGCTGCTACGTTTCATGGCTCTTTGAGTCTAAGCCCAGAGGGATAACCACGCAAGCCAGCACCAAAAGCACAAGGAAAATAGATGAATATATCAATTCTATGGCACATTTTATATGCATAATCGTGCTGATCTGTGCTCTAGTTAATTTTATACCTAAGTAATGGACAAGTTCCCCCTTTCCTGCACAAGCTGCCATTTCCTAACTCTTCTGAGTTCTATGGCAGCCCTCAAAATCATCTCCAAACTCTCTCACTTTTTCGACTAACAATTATATTTTTCATTGCCATTTCATACTTCTTAACCTACAGACACTTTGAACATTGCTTAAGAATTGAGGAAAACAAAACACACAAAAGGCAAAAATTGTGTAGCGAGTCGACAGGTTGGATTAGACTTCTTCAACGTTTTCCGTTTCCGTGGGCTCAATGGCTTTGGACTCCTGCTGCTCCTCCTGGTGCAGTTCCTGCTCCGCGCTGACAGTCGCTTGTTTTGTGATCTACAGAAATAACAATAGGATGGAGGCAGGATGTACGGTCAATAGAGCGTTACATTAGCAATAGGCACTTCCTGCAGGCACATAATACTTATCGGAACATGCGGTTAGAGGATCACTCATAGCACATGCGGGTTAGAGCTGCCATCTCGGCTCGGCTTGGATGCACTTAAGCCTAGGAGTCTTATCAAAAGAGTTAAGTACTGGCTGGATAACTGCTTAGAGCTAGGATTAGGATTATTTCTGTAGTAGGGTATAAGAGTAGCTTTACCACGTTATATGCACACCGCATGAGTAGTAGGAGAAGATAGAGTATCGGTTAAGTGTTTAGAATTTGAGTATGGATTTGAACCACTTAGACCTAGACTTGGACTTGGACTTGGCCTTGGCCGAGGCGAGGCGAGGGCGATGGCGATGGCGAGGTATAAAGTTATATAAAGTTGCCCCATTTAAATATCTATATATATCACAAGATGGTTGCTTGATTTTTGTGGCCCGTTTTGTCGTTGATGATTGTTGTTTTTGGGTTTTTTGTTGGGTGTGGTGTGGTTAGTGAGCGAATTTAGTTTCAATGGCCCTTGATTTTGTTATTATTCTGCAGGGATTGTTGTGATTGTGGATCTGCCATTTGGCTGCCAAATTGTCTTACTTTGAAGCATCGAATATGGAAGTGATTGCACATTTCAGAGACCTGTAAGGGTTTCCAAAAGGGGGTTAATATAGAGCATCAGGGAACGCAACTAAAATAACACTTACCACACCATAGCCATAATGCCAGTGGGCTAGGGTAGCGAATATGGTCAGTCCCTGGACTATCCAACGCTCCCCATCTGCCGTGAGATCCAGTCCAAACACCTGCTCGTAGTAGGGAAAACAGCAGACACCCACAGTGGCCGCCAGGGGCCACATGAGCACATTGAAGCCATCGCAACGGGTATCCGACATTTGGGCCACAATCAAACGGCACTAAAAACAGAGAAAAAAAACATTATTGAACTTTCCTGCAGAAGGTTTTTGTTTTCTGTCAGCTCTTACGGCTATGTTGGAGAAGATGGTGCCATAGAGTATCCAGAGAATGCGTGGCTCCAGGTTAATCACATTATTACGTGAGCAGAACGACCAGATGACGGTGATCACAAACAGCCAGACGAAGGCAAAGAAGGGGCGCAGCATCTCCCACATGGGCCGCATCTTGCCAGTCTTGTTCTTGTACGAGCTACAAAGGGAATATTAAGGATTTGCTTGGCGCAAAGAAGGTGTCTAAGTGATGCCACCTACAGATAGATATTTCTGGCTATAATGGGATGACTTGAAACCATGCCGGATCCAATCAGCGTAAACTCAAAAACATTCGCAATCGTAATGCCGTACATGCTGAAACGATAGATGCCCGGACCAAAAACAGTGGCCAGAAAGAGCATTCCGCTCACGCCCTGAAAGAAATGAAAAGGGTTGGGTTGCCCAATGAAAATGGATTCAAAATGCTCAAAGGAGATGCTCCACTCCACTCCACTCACCCACATGGTGAAGTCATAGCCCCAGGGCAGAAACATCACGCCCGTATTGTACTTTTCCACATGCGTTAAATAGAAATTGAGAAAGACGTTCCATATCACAAAGAACATGCGGATGGGCGGCAGATCTTGGGTGCCGAATAGCGAGAAGATATATATGGGTATCAGTGCTGCGGAATAGGAGTCCAGTCCGTGATCAAACAGCTCGCCCAGGGGTCCACTAGTGCCGGTGCGACGCGCCTGCTTGCCATCCATGCCATCTGTTTGGGGGCAACACACTCCATTAATGACATATCCTGGAGGATGGATGCTCCCCCTTTAATATACTCACCCAAATTGTAGTAAATCAATATGTTTATGGCTGCCACAGTCCACACCCAGGCGGGCACTGTATTGCCGATCGTCTTGTCATTGGCGGCCTTAAAGTCCCAGTCGTAGTAGGAGATCAGAATGAAGTTCACTACAGTCATGAGGAAGCCCACAAAGGTGAGCAGATTGGGTGCCAGCCATTTGGGCAGGAACTTTCCATATAGAAGAGTGTTTGCTTAGATAGGTTTCTTTTGGGGGTTTGAAATATATATTATTTACCTTTACACAATAGTTCCAGAATGGATGCATTATATAGACGCTGACAAAGCCAGTGTCTATGCAGTTGTACTATGGGCCAAAAAGAAAGTGAATTTTCGATGAGCATTACTACATCTTGTACGAGTATATAAAGTCTTTCAGAACACACTGTACTTGTAATCTTTACAAGTACAAATTCCACTCTTTTCCCCTATCTATTTTCCAAGCTCCATGGAAGGAAGCAGCTCGATGACAGTTCAATGCCTTCAACTATTATAGAACGTTTGCGAAACATTTGTTTGCCTAAGCCTAAGCCTATGTCTGTGTCTATTTCCTATCTCCCCAGATTGATGACCCACACAGACAGTATACTACACCAGTAATTCATAATAGATTTTTGATAGTACGGCAATTTCCACACACTCAGTTGCCTAATCGGCAGGCTGAAGTACTAGAAGCAGAAGCAGAAGCAAAAGCAGAAGCAACCGGAACTGGTACACGCATTCTATTGAATTGTCCAGCTGTAATCATCTTGTGCTTTATATATATAATTTAATAACAATTGATTCACTCTCTGTGCATATGGGAGCAACTAGGTAACTATTGAGTAGTGGAGGAAGGGGTTGTCGTGTCGTGTCTTTTAGGGCACAGATGGGTAGGGGACGGGACATTGATTTTTATTATTGTAGGGCAGCCCGGTGCCCCAGTACTCACCTTGTAACGCTCGAAGCCCCGCAAATGAGCCTCCGACAAATAGCCGCCGGTGCAACCCATTTTTGCTATTTTTGTTTTTGTTGTTGCTACTGCACTACTGATAACAGATTCAAGAGAGACGACAGCGAGAGAGAGAGAGCGTGAAAAGAACTTTAGAAGAGAGAATGCAAATGCACCGTTGAACTTGGATCGGGTAAATCGACTTCGGTGTGAGAGAGAGAGTGAGAGTGAGAGTCCAGGCCGGGCCAGACAGAGGCAATCGCTCCACTCCGGCTATCGGATATCGGGCTTGACCTTTGTTTCTGGTTGCTCTGTTATGGTGTTCCGCTAAAATCTCAAAACTTCAATTCTCCACGGTGACATATTGTATAATATCTGGAATTTCGATGCGGTTCCACTTGCACACACACGCACACACACAGACACACACAACTGCTGTTCGTTCTCACACGCGGGTAAATTCTAGCTAGTAAATTAAATAATCGCTTCCTCCCTTTCGCACACGCAGCACACGCAAACAACCGTTATTATAGAGTGAACAAAAATAACTGTAAGACTTAAATCGCGTAAAGCAGCGAAGAAGGCAAAGTGGACGCAGACGTAGACGTAGACATTGGATTGTGTGTGGGATACAGGGACGCGGGTGGACAACGACAACGATAACGCTGGTGAACTGCTGGACTGGCTGGCCGGACGCCCCGCTCGGTCGTATTATCAAGACTGAAGACGAATGGAGCGTAGCACAGCCCCAAATTCCCAGCGCTTAATTCACAACGCCAGCGTAGACGTCGCTGCCGGTGCTGCCAGCGCTGGCTTAAGTTCCACAAAAACAAAAACACACAAATACAAATCCCATTACACACATTGCTATCGCGTTGACAAGTTTGTTGTTGTTGTGTTCTGTGTTGTGTGTGTGTGGGTATTTGCATTGAATGAATATGAATTGAAATTTGTAAAAATCCACAGAGCCTGCGCCCCCGCTCCCAGAACTGTGGTCAGCAGTGGGGCAGCGACGCCTGCAGAGGTTATCAGGCGGAGGCCCGATGGATGATAGCCCCCCCAATCTTGGACATACCGAGTACACACACACACACATCATATGGGCTGTTGTTTATTACAATTATAAACGATGGCTAATGACCGGGGTCGGCTCGGATTCGGATTCGGATCGAAACGCTTCGGTTTCGGATCCCCATGGGTCCAGTCCCAGTGTAATCATTGGCTCACATGTGCTCTATGCTCATCCGATCCGATCTGATCCGGCTCTGAAAACCCCTGCCCTGTAATCATCATCAAATTTTCGCGCTCGTGCAGGCATTGGAACTAAATATAGAATCGATTCTTAATCGATGTCATGTTAAATTTTCGTATTGTATATGTAGCAGTAGGTTGTAGCATTTCCACTGCTCCACTGGTTCAAGTTCAGGCGATAACCCTGCGTGCCGTGCCGGGGAGCGGGTTGCCATGGGGGTGATGCCGAACGGAAATTGAAACTTCAAGATTAAACGTAATTGGAACATCACAATGATCAGAGAAAAATGTCCCTTTGTGATGGGTCATAATCACATGACCAACATTTTGTCTATCATTTGTTATGAGTTAAAAATAAGTTAGCTCGTTGAAAAGGGGTAAGTAGCCTTCCTATCTTATTATTGAACATTTAAATAGTATAATCAATATCTGAAAATATATTAAGGACAGATGTTAAAAGATTCCTAACGTGAAAATAGTTTTTACCTAAAATATTGAATGAAGTTCTTAATGAATGAAAAATAATATTATTTTAAAACTATAATCTTACCTTTCACACTAAAAAACATGGAAATTGCTTTCCATTGTCCTAAATCTGATGTATCATTAAAAGAAAAACAAAAAAACAAATTAAATACTCCAAATTTTGATTACAATTCTCCAGATTATTCTCTAGTTATTTTTGTACAATTTATTAGTCAAAACTAAAACCGAAAAAATATTCTTTGTTATTTTAAATGAATTGAAAGTATCTCCCTAAAACTTGGAAGGCATAAATGGAATCCACATCTGAAAAGCTTCAAAAACCACCCACTAAAAATATAATACTCGCATGCTCATTATCTCCATAATGATATAAAGTTTTCCAATGCAAAGCAATCCATTGATATGTAGCTTGAATAGAACTTCCATAGCATAAATGGAATCCACATCTGAAAATGGATCGAAATTAGCTTAATTTCTTTCTGCAATAATTTCTCAAATAAAACCAATTGAATATTTTAGAATTTCGTTATAATTTTTCACATTCCTTTTCAAATCATTCCACATTCACCAATCAATTAATAATTCGCGCAGGGCCAACATATTTCACAAGTTCGACACCAACTTGAACGTTGATTTTGGTGCACGCAAGTAGCACCAATCATAAACTTATTTTAGGTGCAAAGATAACGTTAACATGTCTTATCGACCAACCAAAAGTTAAGCGATAAAAACAACACAGCAAATTATGCCCGAATGATTGAATGAAAGGCACTCAAAGAGACTTAAGCCTAGGGGTTATGCTAGTCCCGGCAGTACGGTTCGGTTCGGTTCGTTTCGTTTTTAGACTAATTCAACCATCTGGAGGTCTCCGTGGCAGTCAGACCCTCGGAGCGCAGACGCTGCAGCATGGGACGATAGATGTCGGGGGTGAAAGGCAGCAGGACGCCGCGTTCCTGGATCTCACCTGTGCGCAAAAAGGGAATTGCCAGAATTAGTAGGGGATTCTGTCTACTGAATGTTGAAAGACTCACCATCTAGTATCATTTTGGCTGCTATTGCTGCGGGCTTGCCCACCGTCATGGCCATGGCAGAGTGGCCCTGGGGCTGGCCATAGACCACAAAGTTAATGCCACGCTCCTCGCGACGACCATCGGGCCAGCGGATGCCCACCTCGTGCCGCAAAACAACCAGATCGCGCTCCTCCCTTTCTGCAAAAAGGAAAACATTGGAAATTAGATAAAAGTAGGCAGAAAATGCAGGCCAGAAATACGCACCAAAGGCCAATCGCTTGGACAGATAGTGACTGAGCGTGTCCAGGGGTGTGTTGAGCTTCACAACGGGCGTCTCCTCCAGCAGACCCAAGCTCTCAATGCAATCGACATCGCCGATGCGTTCGTGCAGCTTCTGCTTGAGGTTCTCGTAGAAGATGCTGGAGTCGGACATGCCCAGCAGGTGGATCACAAGCTGGCGCCACGTCACATCCGGCCCGCTGGGATGCAGCATGGAATGTGGCTCCGGATCGATCAGTCCCAGCAGCTGCATGGGCTTAATGGACTCGGAGAAGCCTTTGTAGCGTATGGTGCCGCGCAGCAGGGTGTGCACATCCCTGCCCAGGCCATACAGCGAGCCGTACTTGGTGGAGTCGCGATTGGGAAAGCCCTCCAGGGCAAAGCCGGGCAAAAAGTCAAGACTGCGTGGCGTGGACATGAGCTCACCGCCGCCCGAGATCTCCACGATCTGGCCGCGACTCAGATACTTGGCCGCCGAAAGGGTGTTGAGCAGGACTCCGCGCGGCGACCAGGAAAACTTGTAGCGCAGCGCATTGTTCGAGTGCTCGGGTGCGGGAAGACCGCCACAGTAGCTAACAAACGACTCGACGACGGCACCCTTGTCCTGCACCTCGTGAATGCACTCCAGTGCCAGCAGATGATCAATGCCCGGATCGAGTCCCACCTCATTCATGATGGTGACACCCTTGGCCTTGGCCTCTTCGTGCAGCGCCGAAATCTCGTCGTTCAGATAGCTGGCCGTGACCATGTGTGTGCCCTCGGCGACGCAGTAGCGAGCGACCATGCCATGCAGGCTGTAGGGGAGCAGGGAGACGACCACATCCGCCTTGCCGCACAGCTCCTGCAGGTGGCCCGTGCTCTCGTTGACATCCAGATAGACACTGTCCACGCCCGCATACTGATTGGCCAGCCGGTCGGCCTCGTCCTTCACCTGCGAGCAGACGGTGATGTTCACATCCTTCTCGCGATGCAGCCACTCCACCAGCGGAGCTGAGACCATGCCAGCGCCCAGCACCAGCACTTTCTTCTGTGACTCGTAGCCGCCTTCCACCTTGTGACGCGAGCGATTGCTCTGCGACTCTCGCAGCTCCTGAATGTACTGAAAGCTCTCGGTCAGCTCTCCGTTGCTCGCGATTATCGCCTGTGCGGGGGGGTGGGGAGGGGGATGGGTATTATACAACTGATAACACAGATGGACAGAGGCTGATAAGTGCACTCACCGATTGAATGGGGTAGGAGAACTGCTCCTCGGCCAGCGGCTTCTTGGCATCGCTCTTGATGATGTCGTGAACATGGGGTGCCAGCAGTTCGCCAAACAAATCCGTTGACTCGCGCGGCAGCTGCGTGGGCATATTGTCAATGGAACAGACCAGCACGCCAGGTCCCTTGAAGCTCTTCGTATCCTTATTCCGGTCCGCATCGTACAGGCAGAAGGGCGTGTCGATGGTGGTGCACTCGTTCATGAACTCAATGGAGCCGCCCGGATCCGCAGAGATGTCGCAAATGGCCAGCATGCGATGGGGCAGGGCCGGACTGCCCTTGCTCACCGGCAGCCAGGGTGTGTTGGCGGGCCGCAGCAGATTCTTGGCATCTGGTATGCTAATCAGTTTGGGACTTCCGACCGCCCAGTAGATGCCGTTCACTATGACCGAGGCATAGGGTGCGATTTTTGTGCTCAATGTGGATATATAGCGTTCGGGATACTCGTCGTACTCCTTGGCATCGAAGCCACCGCCCTCGCGACGCTCCAAATGATCGGAACGGCTCACCTCGCAGCCATACAGCTTGTTTTGATCTGCAAGTAACACAATATTAATGGAACTCTCACGATTTCTGTACAAATTTCCACTCACTTCCATGCTCGGCCACCTTGCGTATCATCTCTGGCGGCACATACTCAATGGGCAGCTCCGAGAACACCTCCTGGGCGCCCTGGGAGACATTGCCGGAGCCGGTGAACACAAACGTCAGTGGCCCAATCGACTTGGGCATCATGCCCAGCGAGATCTCATAGCCGCAGTCGCGTATGGCCTGGCGGGCCATCGACGAGTTGCGATAGTTGTGAGCGGGCCCAATGTGCATGAAGGGTGTGTGATGGCCCAGGGCCAGCAGCCGCAGCCCGATGCCATGCAGAATGTTCACCATGCCAGCAACGCCAGCGTATTTGCCAAAGGCCACCTGACGAGCGCCGCGCTCATCGATGATGCGTTCGTAATCGATCAGACGGATTTTCTTCGTGTAAAAGAAAAGTTCTAATTATTAAAGCTGGCGCTGGAAGTGGAAGTGGTGCACAAACCTTCTCTAAGATGGCATCCAGCAGTGGCATATTCAATTCCTGTGCCTTGATGGTGTGCGAAAAAAAGCAGTAGGTCTTGCCCGGTATCAAGGCATCGATGGGCACTTGCTTGACGCCAAATATAACAGAAGCCTCGCTGATGTCCTCCTGAATGTGCGCTCCAGCCTGCATATATGCCTGGGGAAAGAAAAAAACAATTATTATCTCTGTTGGCTTATCTTATCTTTGTGCATCTTTTATCTTTTGAGCAATGAGCAGCTGATATATGGTTGATATTAAAATCTCAAGGAGTTGCTCTATCACTTAAGGAAATGTTTGAGGCCAAAGCAAGTGTACAAATAGATAGAAATTAGCTGACGGTCAAGAGCTTCTCATCGTAGAACTCTGTTAGCTATGGCCTGGAAACCATCAGGGAAGTGTCGCTTGTTTTTACACCCTTCAAGTTTCCATTAATAAAGTAGTTCCTGCTCTTCTTCGTATGCTCACTATCTCTGCCAGTCCATATAAATCTTGCAGCTATATATTTTCAATTGCAAACGACAAACAGTATTGTTATTATACTCAAAAGATTGCCCGCCTGCCTCCAGTTCGTAGCAGTAATCGCGGCAATCTTCCATCTCCTGCCTCACGTTTGCTCTTCAATAATTCCGTTTGCTTATCGCTCCTATCATTCATTAAGATCTTTTCTAGCTATAGCCTACACTTTCCATAGAAACCTTTCGCTTCGTGGTGATAAGCCGCGATGATTGCTCCTCGCTGCCTTTGTTTTTTTGTTCACTGGTTCTTCTCAAGGCCTGGCAGCAATTGCCAAATTTAGAGCTCTGTGGACGCGAGTGGCTTATCAAAACGGATTTATTTATGGTGCGACACTGTTGGGGGGCGTGTTTGCTACACTGTATAATGCGTTCGTTTAATCTATCTGGCCTGACTTCTGATACGATTTTTGGGCAGGGCAGGTGGTCTGGTTCGCGCGTCTGGCGCGTTTCCATGGAAAATTACAAACAGGATCTGTTCGCTTCTCATTGCTGGCTCACCTGCATGGGATAGGCGCGACGATTGGAGGGCTGTACGATGACCTTAACATTCTGCTTGACCAATTTCTGTACATGGGTGGGTCCAAACGGTGCCCGGCGCTCCCACACGGACTGATCCTCGCGTCGTATGGCAATCACACGACTCTGAAGGAATGAAAAGAATACCCAGTTATAATTGGGGGGGGTGGTGGCGGCCATTGTTGGGCCGGAGGGTCAATCAACTTACATGGCGCTGTCTGATCAGCGGATGCGCGATTGTTGCGCGCTGTTGAATCACTCGCCACATGGTACGGCAGCACTTGAATGCGGAATTCAAAATATTCTTCAGTTTATTTTTTTTTTGTGTGTGTGTGAATGGGATGCGCTCCGTCTGCTCCGAGTGTTCGCGGTGTTCTAAAGGCAATCCCGAGACGACGGCGACCAGCCCCTAATCAGCAGCCGGACCCCAGCCATAAACCGCCCAGCGATAAGCCGCTCTCAGCTCCGCTTTCCAGTCGCATCTCCGCATCGCAGCTAAAAGAAACCACAAAATTGTTTAATGCGTTAGCAGAGAGAGAGAGAGAGAGTGAAATCTACTTACCCGCAGGGGGAGAGAGCGTTCCGAATTCCGAATTTTTTGGCTGAAAATTTTCCATTCCATTCCGGGCTGATAAGAGAGTTTTAAATTGAATTTAAGAGTATAATTATTGAGCAGATTTTGGTGTTTGGTTTCAGTGTTAAAGCATAATTTTTTATTTGTAATTGCATCTTGGTTTCATAGTTTCGTCTCTGGCACTCACTCGTCCAGAGCAGATCAGCTCTCCTTTTCGTACTTGTCGTATTCACATCAAAAACAGTATATTTTTTTTCTCTTAATTAGCTAATGTCTAAGGGCTACAAGGGGGCGGGGCGGGGCGGGGCGTTGGGTAGGCAGCGTGCAGCAGCCATGGAGCGCGCACGCAAAGAAATTTAATAAATATATACTTAATCCTTACAGCTAGAAAAACAAAGTTTGCTTTGGCTACCCTCTTCCGACGGGTAGTCCAAAAGCCAAAGGAAGAAGTTATAACATTTTGATTATGACGTTGGGGGGGGGAAGGTTGGGGCGTGGGCGTGGGCTGGGGTGGGGTGGGGTGGCTGAAAGCGGCTGCGCCCGCGAATGGTAATAGTAGATTTACAGATTCCTCTACAGCGCCGGTGCCTCGGGCAGCAGCGAGGTGAAGAACGTAATGACAAAGGTGCGCACAACGGAAATCACAGAGTTATTGGCATTTGGTGGTTCCACGGCAGCGGCTTCGGCTGAAACGGCAGCCGCCTCTTCAGGTCCAGCAGCACTGGCCGGTACTGCGGCAGGAGCAGCGGCATGAGCAGCTGCAGCTGGATCAGCGGGAGCAGCATCAGCCGCTGCAGCAGCAGCAGCAGCAGCGGCGACAGGAGCATCGGGTGCATCCTGACCAGCGGCCACTGGCTCGACCGCAGCCTGAGGATCGTTGTTCTCACGCTCCACGGCATCCATCATGCGTTGAATCTGCTGCACTGCAGCAAAGGCAGCAGCAGCATTGCCAGCATTATTGTTGCGATTGATATTGTTATTGTTACGCTCACGACGACGTCGCAGGACACCAATATGATATCTAACAGGAAGATGCAAGACTTTAGCATACATTTTACGAGCATTAAAGCGTGGCTTGCACTCACAGGTAAATCACACCGGCAATGAACATCACCAGGAGGCAACGCAGCGGCGACGAATTGAAGTACAAGACAGTCACGAAAATGGCCAGGCGCGTGAAGCTAAAGAAACTGTCGAGCCAGTCTCGGTTCTCGGGCTCCTCCTGGATGTGGGGAAAGTTTGGTCTGTTGGCTGGTGCCGGCGCTGCTGCCGGCTGTGCGGCAGGCGCCTGATTCAGTTGGACTCCAGCTGCAAGTACAGATGCGGCGGCGACTCGCTGCCTGGCCTCCAGTTCCCATTGTGGCAGCAGATTCGGCAGCATTGGTACTCTATTCCCAGGCGGTGACTCCGCTCTAACGAGAAGCAATGCAAGTTGATTAAAAATGCCACAGAGATGCCACACAAAATGCCTGCAACTCACCCACGCATCAGATCCTGCAAGTATCTGTCATAGACCTGACTCATCCAGGCATTGTAGATGAGGACCTGCTGCTGGTAGGCCACATGCGGATCCGGATGGATGGCCGTCTGTTGCTGCCGCAGCCAGAGAGTATACCAGGTTCTAAATGCGAGATTTTCGTCACCTTGCAGGAAACTGTCTGCACTGGCCTGCTGTTGGGGCAGTTGCAGTGGCGGCTGCTGCTGATTTGTGGCATGTCGCTGACGAAGCTCGTTGGCGTTGGCCTCCTGGCGCGGAGCTGTTGCGTTCTTGGGCACGGCCGTGGGCATGGCCGGGGGCTTGGCAAAGTGCTTGTTGGCACAGACCAGGTGAAAGATGTGATGCTGCTGGTAGACGTCTTTGTAGCTGCGTATAACCTCCGACAGCTTCTGGGCATCGTCCAGCAGTTTGCCAGAGTAAATGAGCTTTTGATCGTTGATGTCCTGCAAGCAGAGAAGCAAACACAATATTTTTATAAGTCTTACTTTTATACGCTGCCGCTGCATGACGCAAGCGGCATGACATATGCTATAAATTACAGCCAGATGCAAGGCAATGACTCTGGCCTGCCGCTGGGTGTACTGACGTGTACTTGGTACTAAACTAAGACGCAAATTGCACAGACTCGACTTGAGTACTAGCCGAAAACAAAACACGATAAGATAGCGGGGGCAAGCCACCACCACCACACGACACAGCTGACGTAAACTACGATAACAATGACACAATAGCAAATGAAATTGATGTGGGGACGGGCAAGGGCACGGGCACGGGCACGGGGGCGTACGCTTACCGGTTTGCCAGGATACACCAGGGACAGTTGCTTCTTCAGGCGCTGCACCGTCCAGGAGAGATCACTGTCGACATTCATGTCGTCATACTGTTGATTGGACGACTTAATTAGAAGCCTCACACTGGTGCTGCTGGCCGCTGCGGCGGCGGCAACGGCTACGCCAGCGTTTGTTGTCTTGTCACGAGCAGCATCACAGCCAGCTGCTGTGGCCGCTGCGGGCGAGGCGGCAGTGTCGTCCATAATTGTGACCTGACCCCAAAACGAACAAACTTTCTACTGGTTGTGTGTGATCTTGTGATTCCGTTTCGGTTTTTGCAGTCGCTGCTCTGGCCCCAATGTTGTTCACTTCCTAATTCCTCAAGATCTCGGGCTCGGGCTCGCGCACACACACGAACAATTGTCGTTTGTATGTTTTGACAAACTTTTACATTTGATTTAGCTCCCTTTTCGTTTTACGACCGAAAATAGTTTGAAATGCTGTACTTTGTGATGGAAAAAGCTTTGTGTTTTCGTTTCGTGTTGTGCTGCTTTCAGCAAGAGAAATTATTGATTATGAAACGAAGTTATAAACGTCCGTCCGTCTGCGCCTCTGAGAGTCGGAATTTTCGCCTTCGTTTCTGATTCTGACCTGAAATTGGAGATGACGGATGTTCACTCGGCTGCTACTTGTCGCAAGTATTTTTAAAGTCACAACTTACACCTGCTGGCAAATTTCAAATACTGCAGGTTAAAATATATAATTTTACAACTGCTGCTTGTACGCTTACTAGGGGTAATTAAACGAACATCATTTTGAGGTATGCTTTTTTCTTAGCTGCACAGTTAAAATAATAATATACATATCCTGTGACTTTGCTGTTTCACTCCTGCTCATCTCTGGCAGCAACACTTGTTAATACAATAAATTCAACGACAGGGTTGCCTTGACTTTTCGGGGCTGCCAACTGCTTTAGGCATACGCTGACGTGTATCCATATTAAATTGTACGTTTACTATTTCATTGCCGAGGTGGCTTTTGGATTACCTTTCAACGGCTACAACCAACTGAATTCCAAGTTTCTATCCATTCATTTCCTACGATTTTACCGAAACTGTGACTCGTGACTTTAAAAATATTTTCGATACCAACCTATCGAATATCGCTCATACCTAAACTACAAATTTTTTATTTTAATTTGTCAGCGGACAAATTTTTCGTGTAAAGAGATGGAGAAAAAGTCTGCCGTTTCGAGTTTGCAGGAATTCTGCGCCAAGAGCAAGACCCCGGTGCCGAAATACGACTATATCGACGGCGAGGACGGAGGATACGTTTGCAAAATCGTACTAATGGATATCGAAGCCTATGGAAATGGTAAGTGCACTCAATTGCATTCTCGACGTATTGCAAATACATATACCATATATAATACCATATACTACTGCCATATGTACCACCGATTCCATCCTTTTCACGTTTCAACAGGTCGCTCAAAGCGCGACTCCAAACACCTGGCAGCCGCAAATATTATGAAGAAGTTGCGCACAATACCCGGCCTAAGTGAGCATCTGTCGGAGGATACAAATGGAAATGGCCTTGGCAACTGTTCGGATATGTACGATGAGCTAAAGAACCTAAATCGGGATATGCTCAAGGAGCTGCGCGACTACTGCGTTCGCAATGAGATGCCACTGCCGGTCATCGAAATTGTGCAGCAGAGCGGCACTCCAGACGCACCCGAATTCGTGGCCTGCTGCTCGGTGGCCTCCATCAAGCGTTACGGCAAGTCGGACAAAAAGAAGGATGCCCGCCAGCGTGCCGCCATCGAGATGCTGTCGGTCATCACAGCTGATTTGGGCAAGCTTTCCGGCATGGAGGTGGTCAGCACCAAGCCCTCGGAACAGGCTGGTGCACCGCCTCTCGATACCACCAATGACATAGAGGCCGAACGTCGTCTGATTTTCACCACCTACCGCGATCTCACCGATTCGGGCAACACTGAATTCGTGGGCCGCAAACTGTGCGATGCCCACAACTACTACAAGAACTTCTTTCCGCACCTGAAGAAGGCCGCCTTCGATGTCATCAATTCCAAGGACTACGAGAACGAAAAGGATCAGCTTATGGATCTTCTCAGTGCTCTCAATATTACACCCGAATTCTCTACAGTGCCATCGAATAGCAAGCGGACAATTGTTAAAGTTGAGCTAAACGTTGATTTTGATCGCGTTTTTCTTGATTTTGAGGACCGGATCCATAGCTATATGATAAATTACTTCAAGATTATGCTTGAATAGAAGTTAATTTCATTATGACGAATTTACCTTTAACTTTACATTGACACAAATGTAGATGGGATTGAATCCCCCCTTAAAACTTACCATTAAAGCATTTAACCTCACACCCCTTATATATGCACCATCTAGACGAGCCCAAAGTATATAGTATATATGTATATATCTATTATATTATTAACATTTTTATTATAGCTATGTATATAGGGGGTGGCTTACAACTAAATAAACTTGTATCCTATTTACACTCTAAACGAGTCTGAATAATGCACATAAATTTCGTTCGTTAATACAATCCAAAAAAGGGTTTGGTTTCGGTTTGGTTTTTGTGTGTGATAAAACATCAAGAGGTCTAAATTGAATTAAATGTTTCGATTCGTTAACTTTGTACAAGAATTGCTAAGGCAAAAGAGTAACCAAGCGGCGGTCGAAACTCTGGCACTTGGAATCTCTTTCTCTCATTGGGAGGTTTAATTTCTCACTATTTAACAAAGGATTATGTACTGTATGTCTGTAAAACCAAAGGCAACCAGGATGGACGAGAGGGACTCTTCTCCTGCTCAGTAGCTGATCTTCTTGCGCAGCTTCAACGACTGCTGCTGCTCCTGCTGTTGGCGCTCGCGTTCCCGATCGATGGACAGGCGGCTACCAACACGTGTGGGGTGCACCACATGGTGTTGCTGCTGTTGCCACTGCGTGCTTGATGGCGGTGCCGTTGGCGTGGGTATGCCCGAATTCGAGGCCGATGTGGATGCCGAGGAACCCGATTCACCAAACACCCGACGCGACAGCTTGAAGCTGCCTCCAGTGCTGGGTGTTGTGGGTGTGCCACTGTTGCTGCTGTATTTGCTGCTGCCTCCACTGTGATTGTTGTTGGCATTCGATGCGGATGCGGATGATGCTGCTGCTGCTGCTGCTGCGGCGGCCACAGCTACGATGCTCGTCTTGCGCAGTAGCTTCGTGTTGTATTCGTCGCACTTGTCCTTGTCCAGGCGCGTTGAGCTCAGGGATCGCTTGTTCCGTCTCGCTCCCACGTGCTCGATGATTGCCTCCAGTTCGGCACTGCCACGCCCACTAAGACGGCCTGTGTCTGGAGAGGATGTCGGGAGGTGGTTGTGGTTGTGGTTGGGTGGAGGAGAAACAGAAGAATGCGAATTACTCAAATTGCAGTTGTTGTTGAGGTTGTTGTTCGTGTTGTTGGATAGCTTGGACTTGGCCCCAGCCCCAGTGCCAGTCCCAGTCACAGTCCCTTGTGTGGCCGCTGGCAATGGATTCGAGTTCAGATCGAGCGTGGCGGATGAGGATCGTGTGGCTATATTATAGCAACCAGAACCAGCAGTGGAAGTTGTACAAGTGGAAGCAGAATGGGAAGCACTAGCACTGCCCAAAGCAACCAGCGATGACATGGCGGTGGGTATGGCGGACACATCGCGATAGTAGCGCGCTGTAGCCACCGTACACGGCTGGGCCTGTGCAGCCGCCGGTGCAGGCTCTCCGGCCGCAGGACGCTGATAGCGGATACGCGAGCGACCGCGGAGCGTCATGTGGTGGTGCGAGGTGCGGGCGGCACTGCCACGCGTGGGCGGAATGGTGGCTGAGCTGCCAGCGGCACCGGCGGCACCGGCCCCGGCAGCACCACCACTCATCATCACCACAGGGATCTTGCTCTCGTTGATGGTGGCATACGGTGGTGGCTTGACGCTGCTGCCTACAGTGGACACCGGCTGCTCCTGCTGTTCCGCCTTGCGCAGGTGTTTCAATTCCATTCTGGTTGGAGAGCATATATAAGGAGCGTATGGCGGCACAAGAGATAAAGATACAGATAAAGAGATACAGAGTATGGATACCGAGGAGGGATATAGAGCAGGGGATGCTACAAAAAAAAAAACATAAGCCAAAATAACAGAAAAACAAGGCCAAAACATTCGATAAACAAAAATAATAATCGCAAGCTTTACATACAATTTCGATTGGTTTTTTTTAAAGTTTATTTTTTGCGCAAATAAATTATTTGTTTTTTTTTTGTTGTTGTAATTTTGGGCATGCACAAAACGGAATGTTTGAAACAAACTGCAGACAATGCCAAATACAAAATGTTGTTCATTTTTCTCTAAACTAAGTTAGTAGCTAAATTTAGTAATCGATCAACGATAATTCATCAGTGATCGGTGATAGTTCCTGGATTATTCCTGGATGTACATAGCTTAATTTAGTAATCGATAATTATCGATAGTTCCTGATAGGTTAGTGTTTGGTTAAATTTGGTGCAAATTATATTAAGGGGGAGAAGGGGCTCGAAAATTAATGGAAATACCTCTAAAGATACATACACTCTATATATACAACTCAAGAAATGGTAAACGGAATGATGGGGCAACGAAATAAGGGAAATACAAAATGGTTAAAGCAGAAACGGGTGAATCGAATCCAACAAACAAAAATAAGGCTTCTATTTGGGTACATTTCGAGTGGGAAAAAAGTTTCGAGTTCTGGCGAGGAGGGGAGGGATCCACCACTTACCTCTTGCTGTAGATCGCCAGGCTGCGGGTGCGACTGCCGGGCAGGAGATTGTTAGTGGTGCCATCATTGTTGTTTTTGTTCTGATTATAATTCTGGTTATTCAGGGATGGGCTTAGAGTACTGCTGTGGGGTATGGTACTATTGCTGTTGTTGTTGTTGTTATTGTTCAGATTATTGGCCAAGGCAACGGCCGCCGCTGCCGCAGACACTGTCGGCACTGTCCCTTGCAGCAGTGAGGTTGTGGTCTGCGTTGAACACCTCGAGGGTATCGTCGCATGGGTCGTCGCCACTCCGTTGTTGTTGTTCCGAAAGGGCTGGGAACGGGCTCGCGTATGCCTCAGATTCGAGTCCAGCTCGCTGAAACAGAACGATTGCAGCGGCGTTAATCTCTAGGCATGTTCAAGGGGTTCTGTGCTACTCACCTGTTGCTGTTTACATTTACGGAACGCGAATGGTGCCGCCGCAGCGCTTTGATCTGATTGAGCTTGTCGCCCTGCGTCTGGGCCTGCTTCTTCTCCAGTGCCGTCTGCGTCATGCGCACCGTCGAGGCGATGGTATGGCGTGCCGCTTCGAATACATTGCCACTGGGCTTCCGCAGCTTCTTCTCCGTGCAGCTGGCGGCCTCCGCCGTGGGATAGATAACACCCGGCGTTGTCGTCTGTGGGCTGACGCTGTGGGCATTGCGATTGACGGCCACCGGATTGACCAGGCGCCTCAGGGAGTTGGCAATCATTGTGGGTTTGTTGGCCGCCGACGGGGACTTGCGGCGTCGCGTGGACATTGTGTAGGTGGAGACCAGCGGTGGGGCCTCGGCCGGTGCGCTGGCCGTGTCCGTGTCGTTGTCGCTGCCATTGCAATTGGGATCATCCGTGCTGCAGCGGTACAGCGCTCGTTCGTTACGCTCGAGTCGCCGCTGCTCGCTGATCTCCTCGTCCGTCTGATCGGCAGCCGAGTCCAGCGCGGTGTCCTGATCATGCAGATGCATTGTGTCCACGCGCTGGGAAATCCCCTTGACGCGACTCATCAGCAGATCCACCTGCTCGAGGGGATTCGAGGCGGACGAGGCCTCCGTCAGTTTGGTTTTCAGCTCCAGGCTGTAGATGCCATACGTGTGCCGCAACATGGGAATGCCACTGCGACGGCGCATACGTTCGCCCTCGGACCACAGCCAGCTTTGTTTGCTGTAAAGCGAATGAAGGGAGAATTAGTGGGATTAGGTGGGATGCTGGCTACATGTATACATACTCCTCCATCCACTGCTGCTGATGTCCTATCACGGAGCCCGGGCGGCACAGCCTTAGCCAGGCAATCGCCTCCAAAGCGCTGAAGCCATAGTGCTTCATCATATACGCTCCAATGAGGCTGCCCGTGCGACCCAATCCCGCCTTGCAGTGCACGGCAATGGCACCCTTTGTCGTCTCACAGATGGAGAGGAATTTCTTCATGATGGCATCGCTCGGTGTGCTGCCATCGATGAAGAACAGATCCTTGTGATCGAAGCCGGCATTCTCAAACGACGAGGCATGGTAGACCTTTGCATTCAATCGAATCACGGTCGTCACATGGTTATCCCGAAAGTATGAAAAATACCGCTCGGGTGCATGGCACGGATACCCATTGGGCAGGGTTTTGCTCTTCTGATGGGGCCCACAAAAGGCAATAAACTTCTGGGGTACAATCCAATTGAAGTCGCCGTTTTCTACGCGCTCAAAGTACTCGTACTCCTCGGCATCAAAGTCATCGAAATTGAAGAAGCCCGCCTGCAGGCCCTTGTGCACGGCATTCAGGCAATCCAGCAGAGAGATCTTGAAACTGCTGGGTCCATAGCTGGCATCGCAGAAGCGCGTATAGGCGGGTATTTCGCCAGATACCAGAGGTCTATAGGCCTCCAGCGGCGTCTTGTTCAGGTAGATTATCTATAATCAAAAAAAAAATGCACATTACTTTCGGCTCATTTTGGGTGATCTTCAGCCATACTTACGGCATACGAACCAATCAGATAGGCCGCATTGAGCCGCTTGGCCGGATTCATGGAGGTGTAGTGGACAATCTTTCTGTTGGCATGGCACTTGGCACTCAGCTTTGTGTTCAGCTTCATGCAGTAGCGATACAGCATGCAGATATTGAGGGGACCAAAGTCGCTGTAAAAATTCTCATAGATGTACTCCTCGTCGATGCTAAAGTAATGCGTGTTGACGGTATTCTTGGGCTTAATGTTCTTCTTGAACGCCACAAAATACAAACGATCTAAGGGGGCGAATACAAGTATTAGCTGCTGTAGAGACTTGCAGTATGTTTCAATTATTCACTTACCTTTCATCATTTCGGATGCACAGACCAAGAGATCTGAGTTGTCATCGTCCAGCATCATAGCGGACGCGGGTGGTCGGGCTCAGACTCGGACACGGCAACGGTAGACAACACCAACGGCTGCTGCCTGGCGACTGCAACCATATAAAAGAATCTACATTTTATTACAAAACTTTTGGAATGGCTCTGCAGCAACAGTAAAGCGGCAGCAGTAAAACTATCGTCAAAGTGTCTTAAATCACTTCTGGAAAGCCCACACACAGACAGACAGACAGACAGACAGACAGGGTCTTTTGGTTTGACGCTTCCGCATGCGATTTTTCATTAACAAATTTCAGATTTCTACTATTAGCTGAATACCCTATAGAAGTGAATAGATCAATGTATGGATGTGACAGCTGTGAATCTCAGGCAAAACAAAAAGAATTATAACCATTTAGTTTGGGTTTCTTTCCACGATCAATCCAATCAGTAGATGGAAGGTATCACTTGGTCGTAACCCTTGGTTATAACATTTCTACTATAAGCTTTTGTTCTTTCTTTCGTTTGTTAGCAACAAATGCGCCCACACACAGATAAACACACAAACACACAGAGGCCGCCTGCACAGTGAGAGAGAGAGACCTGACTTTGCCTTAATTGGATGGAAATAAATGATGTTTTCCGCAAAGGGTGTTCCACATACAAACATCTACACATCTACATGTGTTCGTATACATATGTATGTATGCATGTATTGAGTGGAAACATGTGTTCTGTTTGTCACTTTTACCAACTTTATGAGTGGGTCTTGCCCCTAACCAATACCCATTAGCCTACCACCCCCACCCCATTCCAGCCAAGGCACAATTCTTTTGCCTTATTTGCTCCACTTTTCCTTTAGTCGTAGTCATAGTATATTGTATGTAGGTGATGGCTTCCATATCGATATACATATGCATATAGCCATCACTCCGCACTCAGTCCTTGCCCTACCACCGTTAGTCAGTCAGTCAGTTAGTCATTCTATCGAGTCGTCAGTTTTGCTGGCATCCGCATAAACATAAATCCCATAAACAATGGCTGGTAACGGCCTATAACCCCGAATATGAAACACTCTTACACGGGGGATCCCAGAATACAATGTATGTATATGTAAATGGGTGAAAATAGATGCGAGAATCTAAAAAATATAAACGCTCAAGGGGAGTTGCTTTATTCAACTATTCCTAGACAATTTCCAGACATTCCACACCCATCTGTCTTCAATTTTTAGATCTCTTGAATTTCCTTATCGAAAGGGGATTACCTTTCTTCTGTGGGTCTGAGGGCGTTTCTTTATACAATACACTAATCTGCATAAGAAAATGTATTTTATGGGTCTGTGGCCCCAGCAGCAAAAGGTTTACGATGTTGACCCCATCATCGGAACTGTTACACACAAACACACACACACACACATACCCATAGGAAAAACACATGTAAATATTCGATTTTATGCAAATTTGTAACCTTTTGCAAAGCTAAGCAGCAGTTGGCGTGCCTTTAGAGAATTTTTGGACCTAAGCCGGGGGAATACGATGCGCTCCTCACTCCATTCGATGCACTTCCTTTTCCTGATTTTAAAGTTGAAAAGTCAAGACGCCGGGGCGCTTTTTATGGCACATTTGCATGTCGACTAAGCCCAGATCCAAAGATAGGTGGCAAACCGGGCGCCAAAGGTGGTAGGTACTACTTATATCGCATGACATTGGGGCGGGCCGTGCGAATAACGGAAGCGAAAATAGATGAAGATATTGAGATATATAGGGCACAACCATCCATACCATAGCATGTACATACATATGTACATATATTGAGGTACTTATTACAGTACTCGATGGGGTGCAGTACTCTGGGGCAAAGACTAACTGTAAATTCTCATTCAACGAGCAACGATCGATATGCAATGCTATCCAAAGCTTTCTTTCTCTATGCTTTTGTGCTATGTTTAGGTCCAAGCTACCTCTCTCTCTCTTTCTCTCTTTGTGCTTATCTCTCTCTCTTTCCCAACTCCATTCACTGTTCAATCGAATATCATTTGGAACTCTTTCTATCCCCCTCTCGCTGCTCCTTTTCAATGCGCTGAATCGAAAAACATTTCCAACTCTCTCTCTATCTCCCCGGCTGGAGCGAAGATCATTTCTAAATATAGCGATCAGCTAATTGACGACACTATCAGAAGGAGAATGCAATTTACGCTACGCCATCTCTCTCTCTCTCTCTCTTCCATTCATTGCTGTGGAGTTGGAGGAACAAAATTCCAGCAAAGAACTCCAAACACAACTCCCACGTGACGACATCGAAATCATATCAGCTACACACACACCACACACACACACTCTTAAACTTGCTTATCGCCGTTTTGTTTAAACATTGAAAAGACGAGTGGAAAAACAAACATAAAAGAGTGTATGGAATGCGATAGAAAGGCGACCCTGGACGGAGAACGCTCCTCTTACAGTTCGAAATGGGAGATGGGCTGGGCCAAGGTAAATTAAACAGAAGGTAATTTAATACCGATCTTCGCTTGGCTCACGCACAAAGGCTCACAATTGTATCTGGTTTGGGTGCCAACTGGAGACAGCTCCATTGGTCTGTTAGTGGCCTTACCTTCGGCTTGAATATAGCTTGGGCTAGGCTCTGGCGACTATACCGAAAACAATGGCCATTTGAAAAGCGTCGAAACGAGTTTTAAATATAGCTTGGGCCAGTGTGTGACGTCACCCACAGCCCGACCCAGGCCTGGCGCAAATAGCCAAGAATGACAATAGCAACGACAGAGAAAATCGAGCAAAACTAAAAGCAACGTCAATGCAATGGTGATTGGATGCGATGCTATATGTACGTTTTCAAAGTTAGTTTTCCGTTGGGGAATATGGACGCGGTGCCATGCCAGGCCAGGCCAGAGATTTTTGCCGCGCGCACATACCACAACAAATCCACATTACAACGGCAACAGCATTCACCTGCAGTAGGCCCCCCTACCTTAACCTCACCCGCCCACTAAGCAGCTAGAGAGAACGATTTAGTCGAGTGATTCGACAAAGAAATACCCTGTACGAAATGTCCTACAGGTTCTACTGGATCTTATTTTAGTACAGTTTAATGGACTGAAACACGTAAATTTTTTAGCTGTTATTTTCTTCAAGACAATCGAAGATCATACGACGAATGGCTTTGACCAAATAAAATCGTGGATGGCTGATACACGGCTGAAACATAAACTGCCCTAAACACAATTTACGTTTGTACATTCTGAGTAATGGGTATAAAAACAACACGACCATTTGCCGCTCATGCCCACATCTGCGCATGCTCTTTCTCTCTGAAAAGCTGGTTTAGCCGCTCTCTCCGGCTCTCCGTGCTCCAACCGCCCTCTCATTTACACTTGTGCTTCTGCGGCTTTTATGACACTCTTTTTCTCTCTCCCTCTCTCGTTGGGTATGTGTGCGTGTGTGTATGTTGTATTAATAAAAGCAACCAACGCATTTTTCTACTAAAATCCAACACAACACAAAACTGAAAAAGAAACCCGAACTGGCGGCGGTTGATGAAGACTTGGATGGGATGTGTAGTACTGCGTAATCAATTTTTTGGGGAACAGAAACATTTCTGGACTATTTTCGTGGTTCTATCTGGGAATGGGTGGCAGGGGTTGTTACAGTTACACAGTTTCTAATTGGAACGTAGTACGGGGGAGGGGAGGCAGACTCACCAAACTGTTATTAGCTTTTCGGAACGGCTATGTATGGATATGCACAGGATCTGGATGAGAGCAGCAGCAGCTCCACACTCCACACAACATAACACTTAATTTTGGAGAGATGCTAATTTTTTTGGGTTATTTTCTATTTAAAACTGTAAATTTGTCAACGAAAATTAGACATTAGGAATTTTATCTGTAATTTCTATTTAACAACATTCTCAATGCGAGCTTTTCGCACTTTGATTCTGTTTTCTATTTTTCAAATATCGTAACGAACACGGCAGCGCACGGTCAAAATGGAGCGCACGGGATCCAAAGAAAATTTATCAACTGCTGCTCGGGAGAGCTCCAAAACAAAAGTAAACTGAAAATTACATTGCAGCGTTGGCGCTTTTTCGTGCTCTCTCTCTCTGCCCCCACTTGGTCATTGCGTTCGCTCTCCTCTCCAGTGTTGCCAATTCAGCTATTCTACAGCTAGTTTTGGCTTTTTTTAGGTTCGATTGGTGTACACATCTTGAAAATTGCTGGCAGTCTAAAAATATATATAGCCATGTTTGGTTTATTGTAGTCTGATTATGTCGAATAAGAAAACTTAATGGAAATACTATGAATCAATAAAAAAATGTCTTCACAAAATTTGACATTTGTGAAATTTAGCTATTTTTATTTTAGAAAGTGACCAGCACTGCTCTGCTCTTATCGATGGTGCGATGTATTGCACAAAGGTTATATCGATATTTTCGTTAGGAACCGAACGGTGAGGGGGCCGTTAAATTTAAAATGAGTCAAATGAAAACTTGCACTTCCTTTTAGGATTCACAGTTTGTGCTGTGTACCAGCATACCGAAAGCCTAACACATGCAAACAACTTTGTGTGTATGCGATCCGTCCAGCGAAAACCGATTTTGTCTCTTCTCTGATTGGTGTTACCGCCATTTTGTTATGATTTTGTTGTTGCTTTTCTTCGAGTTTGCACTGTTCCGTTAATCGTATTTGTGTTTTTGTTTGGGAATATTGGTGAGTGCTCTACCGTAAGCTGATTTTGGGCATCCCTGGTCTACACACTACAAAATCGAAGCGCTACGAAATAAATTTAAAATAAATTTGACTTAAATAAATTAAAAAGATTTATTCAAATTAACGGAAGATTTAAAAGGGAAACTCAGCATGCTCGACAACATTCGCAAAATGACGACTCCTTTCTATATACACTTCGATGAGCTTCATTTTCTCAAAATCAATGAAAGTATTCTGATATTCCATATTCTATATTGAGTAATAATTAAATTTTTCCTTTAGAAAATTATATGGAAAATGCAGGTCGTTGCCGCTCAAACCGCTTATGGAGAGTTATTTGAATTTCTTCAAATGAGACTGGTACGTTGTTAACCAAATCGAATCATATTCATATTAAATTTATATTTATTATAACAGCGTTGCTAGAAAACCCAAAACAATGTGGCAAAAATCGAGTTGAATGTTATGCAAGTGCTGAAAGAAATCGAGGTAAAAGGAAAACAACACCTTCTAATGGCCGTAATTTCGGATGCGATTCTCAGCAATGAGAAAGCGATGGCCGCCTCTAATTTCTGGCACCCAGTACTCTGGGACTATAGACATTTTGAAGACCACATTAGGGCCGGTCATGACCGTATGGAGCAGCTTTTACATAAAGTATACTCAAAAGTGTACTTAAAGAATTCCTCGGAGGAATTCTATGTAAAGGAGATGGTAAAAAATTTACCGGAATACGTACAATCCACGTATATAGTTGAGCTGCAACAAATCAACAGGTTGCTCCGCCGGATTTTAAAGCATGCCAGCTACGTAACAATAGCAAATAGCAACAACCGATTGAAGGCTTGGGGGCATCTTCTTCAAGACCGGCTTAGGTCAATTTTTAGTTTGATTGCAGAGGAAGAGCATGTCCAGGCGGGCCTAGGCCTGGAACTAGATAAAAGCGAACGGGAAATCGGGAACCGGAACCATCATATTTAAATGCCAATTTTATCCAAGTTATATGCTACTTTAATTAAAATAGAGTAAAAATAAGTTTAATTAAAATTACTTTGAGATATAAAAATTGAATTTTGGTCTTGCTAATTGCTAATCAACAGTAACAGTACGTTCAGTAATTGTACTGTATTGTCTGTGATAATTGTTACAATAAACCTACACAATAAAAACTGAAGAAAAAACAAATTGACCGAATCCACAACGTCTACACTCTACAAAATTGAAGCGGTACGAAATAAATTTAAAATCTGAAAAAAAACAGGTTTACAGGGTTTACTGATTTATGGAAGGTATTGGCGTTGGCGACGGTGGGGATAGACGGTGATAAATTTAGAAGTGAGCACTGGAGATACATAAGGGATACCTGCAAAAACATTTTAAAAAATATT